GATTTAATTTAAAAAGTTCATTAAAAACATCATTTTCATCAATATCACAGTTTGTTAAATTTAAAGTTTTATCACAGAAAAAATCAGGTATATTATCACAGTTAGAGTTAGTATATACTGAACCAAAAAATTTTGCAAAGTAGTTAGCAATATTCTCAGGATCATCAGAATAACTATGTTCGTAATTCATACTGCATGGTAGTATATTACTGTTTTTTTTAGAGTTAATATAGTTCCAAAAGTTTTTTGGATTATTGCCTATATTTAGTTCTAATAAATTAATGTAATTTACATAACATTCATTTGTTAATTCTTTACAAAGGTTTCTTAAATTTGAAAATATTTCATAGTTATTATTAGATGAAATTTGTTTAAATCTTTTGTGAGCAATTTTTTTTTCGATTATAACATTCTTAAGGTCTTTAGAGAACCAAACTGGAAATTTATTTTTAAAGCGCTTTTTTTTTGGGACGTACAGTTCAAATAAATAGGATAAAATTTCATAAAACGATGACAAACATATATTAACATCATTGTTTAAAAACACAAAATCCCAATTAATAATACTCAAATGAGCATTTAAAGAATCGAAATCAGTGCTTTTAAAATCAGAATAGACATATTCATAATTATGAATTAATTCATTAACTCTTCAGTAGAAAGTTTAACATTTATACAAATAGCAGGATGGTAGTTATCACATTTGACTAGAGTTTCATTGGCAATCTCACTTGTAGCATTTACATTATTTGAAAATATTAAATCTAACATATTATTAAACATATTTTTAATTAAATTAATTTGATAAAAATTACAATAAGCAAAGCAATCAGCAACAATTTGTACATTTTCGGTTACTCTACCTAAAGCTTGTACACCAAGATCTTCATTTACCCACTGTACACCTGGTAGGTTATAGTCACCACATATATAAGCACCTACATCACCAACATATATTTCCATTAAACTTTCAACAGAAGAGCAGTGGTTTTTATATATTTCAATAGAAGAGTTCGGTGGGATATAAATTGAACCGATTATAAATTTTAATTTTTCTATCCTAACTTCTACAAACAGTTGTTCCACATCAATGACCTCAGTTTTAATAGCCACTGAAGTAAACACCTGCCTGACAGCAATAAGAACTCCTCCACCTCTCTTACAGTTATACAGTATACTTGTTAAACGGTTTCGGTCTAATCTAAAAACATTATAGTTTAGAAGATTTAGTTCTGAAGTCAAAATATCTTCATTAAGCCACGTTTCAGGACATTTTTAAATAGCTCAGTTAATTTGGTTCGTAAACCTCTTACATTTTGATAGTAAATTACTAAATTGTTTAATTTTTTCTTGTTTTTGTTGCCTTTATTGCCTTTATTTTGTTGGAATGTTCGTCTTTGGTTATTTATGTTGGTGGATTTGTTTTGACTCTTGGGTGAAAAAACCTTGCCACGAAAGCTCCTTCAGGCCACATGTCAGGATTCATGACCTTTTCAAAGTTAAAAAGATCAACTGTTAGCTTAAACGAGGAATAATAATCTGGAAACTTAGATGTTATAGGTTCACATAAGATTTCAGGAATACTATCTTTTAAATAATTGATTAATTCATCACTTTTAGTCTTAGGAGCAAGCCTAGACACATATACAAAAGCCTTTTTTCTTGTTTTTGTTGCCTTTATTGCCTTTATTTTGTTGGAATGTTTGTCTTTGGTTATTTATGTTGGTGGATTTGTTTTGACTCTTGGGTGAAAAAACCTTGCCACGAAAGCTCCTTCAGGCCACATGTCAGGATTCATGACCTTTTCAAAGTTAAAAAGATCAACTGTTAGCTTAAACGAGGAATAATAATCTGGAAACTTAGATGTTATAGGTTCACATAAGAACAACCTTTAAGGAACATGCGGTAGAATTCTTTAAAGTTCCCACCACCTTGATATTACTTAAGTAAAAAAAAAAATCGAAAAGTTAACGCCAGAAATATTTAATTCTCAAACTGTTTCTTTAGCAATCCAAGAAGCTACAACAAAGACTGTTTGTGATCAGGTAATTAATATTAATAAACCTGAGGCTTCCAAAACCGTCTCTGAATCCGGATACGCTAAAGCAGTAAAAAAAACTGCCAAAATAAATGAAAAAAGAATTCTTTTTTCATTTATTTTGGCAGTTTTTTTTACTGCTTTAGCGTATCCGGATTCAGAGACGGTTTTGGAAGCCTCAGGTTTATTAATATTAATTACCTGATCACAAACAGTCTTTGTTGTAGCTTCTTGGATTGCTAAAGAAACAGTTTGAGAATTAAATATTTCTGGCGTTAACTTTTCGATTTTTTTATTTTTTTTGTTGTTTGTAGATGTATACAAATATATTTACTTCTAGGATTTTATTAGCATTTTTATTTTTATCAGAGTTGCTGTGAAGCTCTAAATTTGTATTGTTGTTTTTTATTGAATTCATTAATTTTATTTGATCTCTTAAAGATTCAATTGCAATCGTTTGATTATTAATTATTAGGTCTTTTTGTAGAATAATTTCTTTGAGATAGTGAATTTCAATTAGCAATGGATCATCTGGAATTGAAGATGCAGTACATGAACCATTCTGCTCAACACCTTGAGCAACTTCTTCATTAATTCCACAACAGTTAATTTCTTTTCCATTTATTATCTTTACATTTTTAATTTTTGCACAGCTTGGGTGCATAACACATTCACATATAATGCATTTGTAAAAAATATTAGGTATACTTTTACACCTTTTACACGGTTTATTTGTTGTATCAGACATTATTATAAATCAATTATATACAAGCACCAATATAGCTCAACCGGATAGGCCACAAGCCCGCTCCGCAGTCAACGAAGCGTCCCCGGTTCGATCCCCAAGGGGATAATTTTATTTTTGACAAATTTACTTGTTTTTTATTCATTCACGGTTTTTATCGATGTAAACTTTTTATAAACAGTTCCATATAGTTTATCAAATAATTATGTTCATTTATTAGAAAATCTATTTGTCACATTCACTAATAACACGAGTATTATGAAAGTTATTAAGAAATTACTTTAATCAAAACTTGGCAAAGTTTCCAACTTTGGTTCACTTTTATACCCATTTTATTAGCACATAACTCGGAGCATCCAAAAACACAACCGCTCACTATTACAACAATTGTATATGTGTATTGCTACACTACTCATTGAATGGTTTAATGATAACTAAAAATGTTTTACATTAAATTTTTTTTGTAATGGGAAATGGATTAAAATTACATTTCCATTAAAAAAATGACGAATGGATTATTTTTTACATTGGGATTTTTGCAACACTGCTTCTAATGCATATTTTTCTTTATTTTAAAATATTTTTTTTACACCTTATGTCAAAAGGTAGTCAGTATGTTAATATATTACATTAATTACATAAAACCTTGTATAGATCACACGTAAATTTTAACGTTTTATTTTCAGAAAAAAAATCCGGTCTATAGTTTTTTGTCAAAAATAAAACAAACATTGAAAATATAGTCGAATTTATTTCGAATAGTTATCAAAGTAATAAAGTCTTATAAAGATACAAATTATCTTAACGGAAAATATAAAGAAATATTTATGTTTTTTTATTAAGATAATAAATAAATATTGAAACAACATAAACTAGTTTTCTTCACGTAACAAACCAAAGGAACAACTTCTGGTGCATTCTCGTAGTCATCGTAAATAGTAATCCAGTCACATTCGTAAATGTGTAAAAAAAACGAGAATACACCATTGACAAAAACATTTAAACTTAAAACAACTTATTTTTGGGACGCTTATAAAATGGGTTTATTGGGGTGCTGCCAGTGGGCTTCAGCAGGGGCTTTTAGGGCTTCTTGTTTGCGTCAAACGGAATGCCGGGGGAACTTACCAGCTGGGCCAAGTGCTCGTGCACTTCCTGGCTCTGGTTGAGCCCCATGTTGATTTTTACTTTTTTTGAGCTGGACGGGGTGGCCCTCTTGCAAAAACGGGATTTTAGACAGTTTCGAGTCCAACGAGATTGAGATAATAAAATAATGTTCACATTTAGTATTATTTTACAAGAAAGGCACTTTATTTTAAAGATTGTATGACATTTGACAACTGTCAACTAACTTCAGCCCGTGACTAAAAACATGTTGCTAACTTCAGTCCGTGACTAAAGCGCCATAAAGCCACAACTTGTCAATGTGTGTGTCATGGAAACATATACGATAAAGGGCGTTTTAAAGGTGCGAGTAGAAAAAAATATTTGTTAATCGTTTAAAAATTATAAAATGCATATTTAGAGATTTTTTTAAATTAAATTTGACATAACTTTTTTGAATTTTTGTCATTATTTAAATTTTTATGAAAATTTGAATTTTTTTCAAATGCCTTTTTTATTTTTTGGAAAATTAAATTTTTTTTGTTCGATTTTTTTGAAAATTTTAATCATTTTAAAAATTTGAATTTTTTTTTTGACAATTTTAATTATTTTGGAAAAATTTTTTTTTTTTTGAATTTTGAATAATTGTCAAAATTTGAATTTTTTTCATATTGACAAAAAAGTTTTTCCAAATGTGATTTTTTTTATGCTGACGAAAAAAAAATTAATGGGCTATTACCACATTTTTTTTAATGAGTAATGTAGATGTTCCATTACTTATTGCAAACTTTTTAATTGTTTAATGAGAATTAAAAATGTTTTACACTATTTTTTTTTAATGGGAAATGGATTAGAATTACATTTCCATTAAAAAAATGACGAATGCATTATTTTTTACATTGGGATTTTTGCAACACTGCTTCTAATGCATATTTTTCTTTATTTTAAAATATTTGTTTTACACCTTATGTCAAAAGGTAGTCAGTATGTTAATATATTACATTAATTACATAAAACCTTGTATAGATCACACGTAAATTTTTACGTTTTATTTTCAGAAAAAAAAAATCCGGTCTATAGTTTTTTGTCAAAAATAAAACAAACATTGAAAATATAGTCGAATTTATTTCGAATAGTTATCAAAGTAATAAAGTCTTATAAAGATACAAATTATCTTAACGGAAAATATAAAGAAATATTTATGTTTTTTATTAAGATAATAAATAAATATTGAAACAACATAAACTAGTTTTCTTCACGTAACAAACCAAAGGAACAACTTCTGGTGCATTCTCGTAGTCATCGTAAATAGTAATCCAGTCACATTCGTAAATGTGTAAAAAAACGAGAATACACCATTGACAAAAACATTTAAACTTAAAACAACTTATTTTTGGGACGCTTATAAAATGGGTTTATAGGGGTGCTGCCGGTGGGCTTCAGCAGGGGCTTTGAGGGCTTCTTGTTTGCGTCAAACGGAATGCCGGGGGAACTTACCAGCTGGGCCAAGTGCTCGTGCACTTCCTGGCTCTGGTTGAGCCCCATGTTGATTTTTACTTTTTTTGAGCTGGACGGGGTGGCCCTCTTGCAAAACGGGATTTTAGCCAATTTAGAGTCCAACGAGAATCGATTTTTGCCCTTGAGTTTTGTCAAACTGTCGTTTACGACCTCTTGTACGCTCTGGTTGTTATTTTTGGCCTCGCTTTTCATTTTGGCCGCGTACTTTTTGGCTGGGACCACGATTTCGTATTCGCCTTCTTTTAACGGTTCGTCCCATTCGGATCCCGGGAAAACTTCGCTTTTTTCGGACGGTGATGATTGGAAAAGATTTAACGGACTTAAGGCTGAAATGTAATAAAGTTATTTGATGCCACTATTATTTTCTAATGCTGCTAAACTCAAAAATCACATTTTTTTATGGGAAGGTTTACAGGATTTAAATTTTTATTTTTATTTATTTTTCAAATGCGGCTTTACAATTTGAGATATATCTTAAGTTAGAAACGGTCAACCTGGTGGTCAAACTAAAACTAAACAAACAAATTTTTTTTTGACAAGTAGGTACAAGAATGCAACATTTGGGTTATTTTCAATTTTTTTGTACATTTGTTGTCCCTCAACTCGATGGACAAAACTTAAGTATAGGATGAACAAAAATGCCAACCAAAACTTTTGGTAACACTAACATGTATTTATCAAAATCCCAGCTAATCCTATTTTAAAGTTTTGCAAACTTTTTTGTTTTTCTATTTCTATATATTATTTTGCAATTATTGTACTAAAACTACCTGTACAATTTTAATAAAATTAAGCAAAATAATAAACTTTGTATCATTTAAATTACTTTACTCCCCAGTATTAATTTATTGAGTCACCTATTATTTTTTACCACTCAAAACAAAACAACAACAAAAAACGAAGATTTATATCTTGAATCCGAAAAGACCATCATAGCAGTTTTTGAGATATAGTCAATTCCATATTATATGGAAAATTGAATAAATCTTAAAAACTGTCCTACTTTTATAACTTTTGATGACATATTCGGATTCAACAGACAATTTTACATAGGAATTAACTGCTAAATATCCGGGATACAAATTGCTGTTGACTAGAATTATTAGTGGCTGCTTTTTCGCTATGACAATTAGTCATTTTTAACTAATTCATTTTTAGAGAGTAGTAGGTATTTTCCATCTGGTTCTTTTTTTTAAGAAAATTTGATAAATTTGTGTTCTTCGTTTCCGAAATCCTTTTTTATTGTCCCGCACTTTTAATGTGGCTTTAAACAGTTTTTTATCAACAGGAACTATGATTTTCCAAAGTCTTGTACTGATGAATTAATTAATTAATTTATTTATTAATTATGCTTTTACTGATTCATTAATTAGTTTATTTATTATGCTTACCATTTACAAAATAAACAAATATTAATCACTCTAAACATAAAAATAGTTGGTTATAGTGATAAGTTTGACATAAAGCCCTGCCATATTTTGAATAAATTAAACTTAAATTACACTCATCAACATATTTTTTTTATGAAAATTTTGTTGACCAGTTTTATTTATAAATAACCAATTCCCTGAACGACTTAGGAACTCCCTGACTTTGTAGATTTTTTAAATTTAAATTCCCTAAGATTTCCAGGTTTTCCAGATAAGTGGCAACCCTGTTTGAATATAATAAAAAATAAAAGGGTCGTAGAAAAAATATTGTGTTTCACTTGTGAGAAAAGCTTTCTTCAAGCTCGTGTTAATGCACACTCGGCCTGACGGCCTCGTGAGCAACTTAAACACTCGCATGAAAAAGTCGATTTTCAACACTTGAAAAACAAATAACTATTGAATTTATAAATCTGTGGGTAAAAGGCATAAGGAGATAAGTCAAAAAAATAACTTTTTCGGTAAAGACTTAAACGTGTTCGCATTAATTCAAGATATATATTTATGCTAGCATATGACGTGCTGGCAAAAGGGCTAACCATAAATGTATATGTATTTCCTAAATTAATGTGAACACAAGCTCCAGGCTCCATGACGAACACGTTTAAGGGACTGCTAAAAAATTACTTGGGTCGTTTTCAATAAACACCCGCCTTCCGCTGTCCGTAAGTTTGAATTCCAATAACTTTGTTAAAAATTATCGGATCTTATTGATTTAAAAACCAAGTGAAAGCCTAACAAGCCCTTAGTAAACTCTTTCCGAAAATTTTTGTTTAGTTATTTCAGAATATTTTTTTTTTTAATTTTGAAACCTGTGAAACACACATTTTCGCATGTCCCATTAGCGTTTTCTAAAACTTACATACATGTTTTTTTACTATTGAATAACCAGAACTTTGTGTTGCTTTATAGCAATCCATAACGTCCTTAGTTAATACAGTAAACAATTTATATATAAAATAATAATATATAATAATATAATAATTTTAATCTACTTTTTTTAAATTTGACTAATGTCCCAGACATTTTTTCCGTCGCGTTACCGATAGAATATTAAAAAAACATATATATGGCAACTTTTTTGGTACTCACGTGATCAACAAATGATGTTCGGACGTACACATTACCCAGCTGAATTTATTTATTCAATCAGGAAAAAGATATCGGTTGAAACAGGTGCGGGTAAAGCGAATGTAATAATGTTTGTACGTTAAGTTACTCAAAAAAATAAAAAAAAGTAGTAAAAATAGTAAAAATACTATTTTTCATGTTACGTTACCGAGTCCACTATGTTACCTTATGGTAACGCAATGGAATTTAGGGTAACGCAATAGAATTTTTCGACAACAAAGTGGATATTTACCGTCGCTTTTATTAAAAGTAGTTTATGATTAACCAATTTAAAATTATTTGTAATTACAACCCATGATATAGATTACATCCAAGGAAAAATTCCACGCAATATAAAAGTACTAAAAGGGACCTTCACCAGCTTATAGTCACAGAAAAAGGGTGTCTCGAATTTAGAAATCTAAGTTGTTATTCTGCAAGTGAGCACCACTACAAGGGATTTTGTTTATGCATTACTCTAAAATCGTACCACCCTATATAGTTTCTTTTTTATGTTATCTGATTAAGTCCTTTGTGTACCCCAGTCCTTTGTGATACCAATGTCTATTTCGTTACTTTTTTGTTTTTGTTAAAAAAAAATACTTAAAATAATTTTTATTCACTATCACTTGGTAATACGTGTTTATAAATTAGAGTTTAATTCACTAATACAGTGACTAAAAGAAAATATTAATGGTATTGTTTTTTTTAACACATACATATTTAAAAAAAAAGCATACAATTTTTAATAAAAAATAAAATAAAAAGTTGGAGTCAAAAGTTTGTGAACTACAGTAGAAACCACTAATATATGAACGTGACTCATCGGGTGCCGAACATATCTCAGACATGCTAGCAGTAATGTTTTACTTGTCTTGTACATTCGATGCAGCGGTAAATGTACTCACACGTAGGTTTTTAAGCATCCGGTCTAAAATGCGCCATCTGTGATGTAAAACTGCCTAGGTGTTGGACAAAGATGGACATATGACGCGTGTCCTAGCTTGTTACTTATATTCAGTAGAGTTCGTGTTTCAGGCATTTATTTTATTTTATTACATAGTAAGGCAACCAACTTTACCGTCGGCCATTTGTTTATATATGTCATATGATCATTGTTTTTGCATATCGTGTTTCTACTGTGTGTTTACGGATTAATAATCGTTTTAAACGTTGTAGTGGCAGTGGTTTATATTATGTAACACAGGTAGATGTCGTATAAAAATCCTTACCTAGAAATTCTAGGCTAGAATACAAAAATATTTTTATTATATAAATTTTGTACTAGTATTAGTTTAATACATTCTGAAGAAGCTACTGTGTAGCGAAACAATTGTCAATATTTAATAAATTTCGTGAAACTAACGCAAGTTGTTTTTATATCCACACAATTTAAATATCTTTCACTTTGTACCTGACCTGCGTAAACATTTTTGTTTTTTGTCACCAATTCTGAAATATTTGCGTTTACAGTTAAAAGAATAGTATATTCTGTAACGCAGTGGAGATATATAAAGCTAGCTAAACACATTTTTCTGAAAAAAACGTAAAAAAAATTAAAAAGTGCACTGCCTGTCTTAAATGTAAGTAAACATTTATAAAAATCCAACCAAAAGTCAATTTAAGCAAAAAAAATATTTTGATCTTCATTTTCCTGTGTTTCTTGAAAACTTATGCCTTTTACCTACAGAAATGTAAACCTAAAATTTTTTGTTTAAACCAATAATATTTTATATTAAAAAAGTATTTAGTAAATGTTAAAACGGCGTGCCATACAGAGTAATCCCATTTTCAAGCACCTTAAGACTGGACTATAAAATAACGTCCAAACTTTGTTTTAAGAGGATTTTTGAAGAACGCGCTAAATTATTTAGCGCGTAACGTATAAATATCAATTCTTTTTTACTTAAAAAATATGATTTTTTTAACTCAAACCTAGTTTATTTTTGTTGTGATTAGGTACCTAAGTTAATAATAATAATAATAGGCTTTATTTCAGAGGACATATACATGTGTAGAAAACGTCAAGGTACATTTGAAAATAGACAAACATAAATACAATTAAAAATATGTACTATGCTCCACACTTCAAAGTCCCACCACGTGACCAGGTACGGAACGCAGTCTTTTGAAAATTTGTCATTTAAGGCTTTTCAGGTTATGTATCTGTCAAAGTATAGTCAATGAAAGAAATAATATTTATACTGTTACCGTTTATGTTTAAGCGTTAAAAGTTTATAAATCTTTATAGTATCACAGTAACAATGGTTGGTTTAAGAGTTTAGGAGTATAAATACTGCATTTAATGAAATTCTAAAGTGTATAGTGCCAAATAAGTAAAATTTTTGTGCATTTGGTCTACATAATATTTTAATATATTATATCTGGTTTTATCCATAAAATATAATCCATAAATAACTAAACGGCATTTATTAAAAAAATCTAGCTTCTCTATTATGGAATAAGAATATCTGTATCAAAGGTAGGTTAATACAGGGTGGTCCAGGATTAATCTGAAAAATTTTAATGATCGATAGAGCCTGAATAAACAATACAAACAAACCCAAAAACATTTTTTTTAAATGCATACTAACGGAGATATAGTCCTTTAAAATAATTTTTAAACTATTATACCGATTCTTCTCAAATTTTGTGTAGGTTAAGCTTCCGTCGATAATATAATGAAAATTTCCTACAAAAGGCCCAGTGGCGGAGATTTTGGGGGGATTCCCATTTTTACCCTCATATTTTCGACGCCACTGGATTTTATTAGAAAATCATCAGAAAATCATTTATTTTTATCCTTTTTCAATGTAAAAGCAAAACTTTTATGTTAATTTTTTTATCAGATGAGTGGTTTCGGAGATATTTCAGTTTAAAATTTCAAAAACACTGTGTACACGGAACTTTTGTTATTATTTTAGTAATAAAAATGATTTTTTTTCTGAACGATTGTATTGGACCAATAAAAATTTACCAATGAAATAATGGAATAATCGCTTTCAATAGGGTGATTATTCGATGTTGCTAAACTGATAACGTGGAATAATTATTACCAAGTTACCGATTTAAAATAAAATATTATGATAAAATTCCGTGTACTCGGTGATTTTGAAATTTTAAAGTCAAAATCTCCGAAACCACTGATCTTATGAAAATTTAACACACAAGTTTTGCTTCTGAATTGAATAAGAAATCTGATGATTTTCCAATAAAATCCAGTGGTGTCGAAATATGGAGGTAAAAAGGGAAAACCCCCCCCCCCAAAATCTCCGCCGCTGGGCCTTTTGTAAAAAAATTTGCCTACAAAAAATTTAAGCAGAATCGGTTTAATGGTTTAAAAGTTATTTAAAAAAAAACGTTTTTTGCCTTTGAAGGGCTATTAGTGTGTTGGTGAGTATTTTTGAAAAATGTTTTTGGGTTTGTTTTTATTGTTTTTTCAGACTATCGATTATTAAAATTTTTCAGATTAATCTTGGACCACCCTGTATATTATTACAAAAAATATCATCTAATTTTAAAATTTTAAGGTTAGAAAAATCTATTTTGATCAAAATAAATAAGTATTTTGGATTATTTGGAAGAGTGTGTTAATATGGTCATATAAAAATAGATATACAAAATAATTGTTGAATATGGTTCAAATTAAATTAAAGCTTTTATACTCCTAACAACAAAACTTGTGCATACCTCTCGGGATCCCTACTTTAAGTTAGATATAAGGAAACAAACAATTTAATACTTCCATAACATGTGATTTTTGAAATTTTTAAAAGTTATAATGATTTTTCGATTAAGATAAAATTCAGTTGAAGCTTTATACGTAATTGTATTGACAAAACTTTATGTAGGTATACTTTAAGCTGGATAAGAAAGACTACTACAAGTAAAAATATTAGATAGAGTATACTGTGGTTTTATTTAAATTTTAAAATTTATAAGGTTATTTATACCTAATGATTGTTCGATGTAGATAAAATTTTGTTGAAGCTTTTATAGGTACTTGTATTGACACTATGGGTATATTAGCTGACATTGTAAAATTTCAAAATTAGATGATATTTTTTGTTATAATATATTAACCTACCTTTAATACAGATAGGTATTCTTATTCCATAATAGACAAGCTAAATTTTTTTAATAAATGCCTTTTAGTTAAAACTATTTAATGGATAAAACCAGATATATGTAGACCAAATGCACAAAAATTTTACTTATTTGGCACACTTTAGAATTTCATTAAACCAACCATTGTTACTGTGATACTATAAAGATTTATAAACTTTTAACGCTTAAACATAAATGGTAACAGTATAAATATTATTTCTTTCATTGACTATACTTTGACAGATACATAACCTGAAAAGTCTTAAATGACAAATTATCAAAAGATTGCGTTCCGTACGTGGTCACGTGGTGGGACTTTGAAGTGTGGAGCATAGTACATATACATAATAATAGTAATAATTTACAGGAACTAAATCTACATTAAAAGAAATTCACTTATACCATAATAACATTTGGACAACAAATATGACTTTAAAAGCGTTTTAAAAATGTTAATTGACTTAGGGCCGGTTTATCAATCTCTAGTTAAGTTCCAGTTAGTCTATCTGACAGTTAAATTTCATATTGATCGTTGTGAGAACAATGGTATCCATGGAAATTATCTAACAGATAACTAACTGCAACTTTAACTGGACATTGATAAACCGGCCCTTAGCATTTTGAATGTCTAGGGGAAAATTTACTTTTGTTTAAAAAAAGTTTTCTGTTCATTTTATTTTATGTATGTATAAATACATAAGAAATAAATTATTTTAATACATTGACAAGCATTATTTATGTTTTATACGTTTACATTACAAAAAACTCATCTTTTCCATCTTCTCCAACTTTTCCGAAAAATAAAACCCAACTTTTCAAAAATTTCAACTTTTCATGAAAAGTTGCAGCCCTACTTAAGACTGGACTATAAAATAACGTCCAAACTTGTTTTAAGACGATTTTATATAAAGAAACTCACCGTTTCCGTTGGCTTTCGACGACCCCGGTTGTTTCGGCGGCGAACCCTGTCCTTTCGGCGGCGAAACCGTCTTGCCGGGCGATTTTTTCCTCGAAGGCGATCCGTCGTCGAATTTTGGCGAAGCCGGCTTCAACTTCGGAGGAGACGCGACGAGGCCGGCGTCGCTTTCCAACTTCTCCGCCAGGAAGCTGCCCAAGTCGGCGTTGGACGCGTTCAGGTCGTCCGACGAGTCCAGTTCGCGGTGCACGACCCACGTCCCGGAGTTCCTCTCGAACGTGAACTCGGCCTCGTCGGCGTAGCGCCGGTCCAGCCCGAAGCCGTAGTTGAAGGCGCGCTTCCTCGCCCTCCTCGCCTTGCACCGCTGCCTCTGGCGGATCTGGTCGATGTCGCGCCTGCGCACGAACGCCTCGAGGTTCTCCGTGTTCACGCGGCTGCACCGCTCGCCGAACTCGATCTCGTCGATCTCATCCTGCAAGCAGGGTTGGGACAGTTGAAAATTTCATATATTATATCACGAGAACTATGAATTTAATCGGTTAAACTAGGCTCAGTACTTTTTTGTTGGAAAATGTTGAATGCAAAATAATTTAATAAAATCACGAGACCGCGCAGCGGTCGAGGGGTTTTATTTTTAATTATTTTGCATGAAACTATTTTCCAACAAAAACCAAACAAAAAACTTACTGAGCATAGTTTGACAGATTAAATTTATAGGTTGAGTGATATACGTCTAGATTATTTCTCGAATTAAAGGAAACTATTCGACAATTCATAAAATCTGACGTAGGTGTCAAATTTTATAAATATTTTTTTAAAGAAAATTCCATTAATTTAAGGTATGTAATAAGTAATAATTGATATTTCGTAAACTAGATAACTTATTTTTTATTGTTTTTTAAAAAATGTTTGTTAAAACTTGTAAATAACACCATAAAATCGTAAACAAAAATTCAATATGGAGGCTAAAATTTAATCGCTGTTAAATAGTTCTAGTGATTTAATCGCTTATTTAAACGAAATTTATTCGAAAATTCAAGGCTTTTGATTGGTTCATATTATATTGAGGGAAATAATCATATATTATATCACGAGAACTATGAATTTAATCGGTTAAACTAGGCTCAGTAGTTTTTTGTTTCGTTTTTCTTGGAAAATGTTGAATGCAAAATAATTTAATAAAATCACGAGACCGCGCAGCGGTCGAGGGGTTTTATTTTTAATTATTTTGCATGAAACTATTTTCCAACAAAAACCAAACAAAAAACTTACTGAGCATAGTTTGACAGATTAAATTTATAGGTTGAGTGATATACGTCTAGATTATTTCTCGAATTAAAGGAAACTATTCGACAATTCATAAAATCTGACGTAGGTGTCAAATTTTATAAATATTTTTTTAAAGAAAATTCCATTAATTTAAGGTATGTAATAAGTAATAATTGATATTTCGTAAACTAGATAACTTATTTTTTATTGTTTTTTAAAAAATGTTTGTTAAAACTTGTAAATAACACCATAAAATCGTAAACAAAAATCCAATATGGAGGCTAAAATTTAATCGCTGTTAAAAAGGTCTAGTGATTTAATCGCTTATTTAAACGAAATTTATTCGAAAATTCAAGGCTTTTGATTGGTTCATATTATATTGAGAGAAATAATCATATATTATATCACGAGAACTATGAATTTAATCGGTTAAACTAGGCTCAGTAGTTTTTTGTTTGGTTTTTCTTGGAAAATGTTGAATGCAAAATAATTTAATAAAATAACGAGACCGCGTAGCGGTCGAGGGGTTTTATTTTTAATTATTTTGCATGAAACTATTTTCCAAAAAGAAAAATCAAATAAAAAACTACTAAGCATAGTTTGACAGATTAAATTTATAGGTTGAGTGATATACGTCTAGATTATTTCTCGAATTAAAGGAAACTATTTGACCATTCATAAAATCTGACGTATGTGTCAAAGTTTATAAATATTTTTTTAAAGAAAATTCCACACCTGTAATTTTTAACCAATCAAAACGTGTATTTTTGACGAATTTTAGTGGAAATTTTTTCCTCGTGGGTACCCAACAGCGAATTATACTGGAAATTTTTTTGACGTTTATAATGACAGAATATTTTTTTGACAATCTGGTTTTTATTTGTTTACATGATAATTTTGATACATTTCCATTACAAAGTTTAGATGTTTTCTATATTCGTTGGACACCTCCTTTCTTCTTAATGGCGAAAATGCAGGACTTGAAATAAATTAAATGTCTATGTCTAATGAAATATATATAATATTTAGACACTATTCTATTCACCTTTTTTTCCATTTAGCACTTTGAGTTTTGAATAGTTAAGATGCAAATATTCGTGAACAATTCAAAACAAATTTTCTTTCTTCAAGTAGGAGCCACAATCCTCTAATAATGTGGGTAAATAAGTCATTGCACGATAATTGATATAGCAGACAATTTCACATTTTTTTACGTCGTGCCGCTTGACAGCTTCAAAACTGAAATAACTTTTAGGTTGGGGTTGACTTAGTTGCCATGGTAACTAAATAATCAAGTCGAGGTCAAGTTAAATCAAAAAATAAATTTTAATTATTTAAACACAATTTGGTGTGGAATTTTCTTACCGAATACCACACGAGGTCAAATTAAATCCGGAAATTTTTTCTCCCTCATGAATATTTTTAGAAAAATATCAAAATATTCATGAGCTCGAAAAAATTTCCGGAAATAATTTGACCTCTAGTGGTATTACAAGTGAAAATTCCATTAATTTAAGGTATGTAATAAGTAATAATTGATATTTCGTAAACTAGATAACTTATTTTTTATTGTTTTTTAAAAAATGTTTGTTAAAACTTGTAAATAACACCATAAAATCGTAAACAAAAATCCAATATGGAGGCTAAAATTGAATCGCTGTTAAAAAGGTCTAGTGATTTAATCGCTTATTTAAACGAAATTTATTCGAAAATTCAAGGCTTTTGATTGGTTCATATTATATTGAGGGAAATAATCATATATTATATCACGAGAACTATGAATTTAATCGGGTAAACTAGGCTCAGTAGTTTTTTGTTTGGTTTTTGTTGGAAAATGTTGAATGCAAAATAATTTAATAAAATCACGAGACCGCGTAGCGGTCGAGGGGTTTTATTTTTAATTATTTTGCATGAAACTATTTTCCAAAAAGAAAAATCAAATAAAAAACTACTGAGCCTAGTTTGACAGATTAAATTTATAGGTTGAGTGATATACGTCTAGATTATTTCTCGAATTAAAGGAAACTATTTGACCATTCATAAAATCTGACGTATATACGTCACATATGTGTCAAAGTTTTTAAATATTTTTTTTAAAGAAATTTCCATTAATTTAAGGTATGTAATAAGTAATAATTGATATTTCGTAAACTAGATAACTTATTTTTTATTGTTTTTTAAAAAATGTTTGTTAAAACTTGTAAATAACACCATAAAATCGTAAACAAAAATCCAATATGGAGGCTAAAATTTAATCGCTGTTAAAAAGGTCTAGTGATTTTATCGCCTATTTAAACGAAATTTATTCGAAAATTCAAGGCTTTTGATTGGTTCATATTATATTGTGGGAAATAATCATATATTATATCACGAGAACTATGAATTTAATCGGGTAAACTAGGCTCAGTAGTTTTTTGTTTGGTTTTTGTTAGAAAATGTTGAATGCAAAATAATTTAATAAAATCACGAGACCGCGTAGCGGTCGAGGGGTTTTATTTTTAATTATTTTGCATGAAACTATTTTCCAAAAAGAAAAATCAAATAAAAAACTACTGAGCCTAGTTTGACAGATTAAATTTATAGGTTGAGTGATATACGTCTAGATTATTTCTCGAATTAAAGGAAACTATTTTACCATTCATATAATCTGACGTATGTGTCAAAGTTTATAAATATTTTTTTAAAGAAAATTCCATTAATTTAAGGTATGTAATAAGTAATAATTGATATTTCGTAAACTAGATAACTTATTTTTTATTGTTTTTTAAAAAATGTTTGTTAAAACTTGTAAATAACACCATAAAATCGTAAACAAAAATCCAATATGGAGGCTAAAATTTAATCGCTGTTAAAAAGGTCTAGTGATTTAATCGCTTATTTAAACGAAATTTATTCGAAAATTCAAGGCTTTTGATTGGTTCATATTATATTGAGAGAAATAATCATATATTATATCACGAGAACTATGAATTTAATCGGGTAAACTAGGCTCAGTAGTTTTTTGTTTGGTTTTTGTTGGAAAATGTTGAATGCAAAATAATTTAATAAAATCACGAGACCGCGTAGCGGTCGAGGGGTTTTATTTTTAATTATTTTGCATGAAACTATTTTCCAAAAAGAAAAATCAAATAAAAAACTACTGAGCCTAGTTTAACAGATTAAATTTATAGGTTGAGTGATATACGTCTAGATTATTTCTCGAATTAAAGGAAACTATTTGACCATTCATAAAATCTGACGTATGTGTCAAAGTTTTTAAATATTTTTTTAAAGAAATTTCCATTAATTTAAGGTATGTAATAAGTAATAATTGATATTTCGTAAACTAGATAACTTATTTTTTATTGTTTTTTAAAAAATGTTTGTTAAAACTTGTAAATAACACCATAAAATCGTAAACAAAAATTCAATATGGAGGCTAAAATTTAATCGCTGTTAAATAGTTCTAGTGATTTAATCGCTTATTTAAACGAAATTTATTCGAAAATTCAAGGCTTTTGATTGGTTCATATTATATTGAGGGAAATAATCATATATTATATCACGAGAACTATGAATTTAATCGGTTAAACTAGGCTCAGTAGTTTTTTGTTTCGTTTTTCTTGGAAAATGTTGAATGCAAAATAATTTAATAAAATCACGAGACCGCGCAGCGGTCGAGGGGTTTTATTTTTAATTATTTTGCATGAAACTATTTTCCAACAAAAACCAAACAAAAAACTTACTGAGCATAGTTTGACAGATTAAATTTATAGGTTGAGTGATATACGTCTAGATTATTTCTCGAATTAAAGGAAACTATTCGACAATTCATAAAATCTGACGTAGGTGTCAAATTTTATAAATATTTTTTTAAAGAAAATTCCATTAATTTAAGGTATGTAATAAGTAATAATTGATATTTCGTAAACTGGATAACTTATTTTTTATTGTTTTTTAAAAAATGTTTGTTAGAACTTGTAAATAACACCATAAAATCGTAAACAAAAATCCAATATGGAGGCTAAAATTTAATCGCTGTTAAAAAGGTCTAGTGATTTTATCGCCTATTTAAACGAAATTTATTCGAAAATTCAAGGCTTTTGATTGGTTCATATTATATTGTGGGAAATAATCATATATTATATCACGAGAACTATGAATTTAATCGGGTAAACTAGGCTCAGTAGTTTTTTGTTTGGTTTTTGTTGGAAAATGTTGAATGCAAAATAATTTAATAAAATAACGAGACCGCGTAGCGGTCGAGGGGTTTTATTTTTAATTATTTTGCATGAAACTATTTTCCAAAAAGAAAAATCAAATAAAAAACTACTGAGCCTAGTTTGACAGATTAAATTTATAGGTTGAGTGATATACGTCTAGATTATTTCTCGAATTAAAGGAAACTATTTGACCATTCATAAAATCTGACGTATGTGTCAAAGTTTATAAATATTTTTTTAAAGAAAATTTAAGGTATGTAATAAGTAATAATTGATATTTCGTAAACTAGATAACTTACTTTTTATTGTTTTTTAAAAAATGTTTGTTAAAACTTGTAAATAACACCATAAAATCGTAAACAAAAATCCAATATGGAGGCTAAAATTTAATCGCTGTTAAAAAGGTCTAATGATTTAATCGCTTATTTAAACGAAATTTATTCGAAAATTCAAGGCTTTTGATTGGTTCATATTATAATGAGGGAAATAATCAAATGAAAATTTCAACTTTGAAAGTTTCAAACCTGAAACATTTCATTTAGTTGGAAAAGTGAAATTTTTAAAAATTTCAAATGAAATTTTCAATTCGAAAATTTCAACATTGCCTGTGAAACTTTCAGAAATTTCATTGAAAGTTTCGCAATTTACTGAAAATTTCGCATAAATTTCACATGCGGCCTCCCGTGGGACCTTTAATAATAATTTACAACAGATTCCAAATCGACCAATAAGAACGAGTTATCAAACGTCTGGGCGTTTTTGTTTAGTTCGGCTTGGATTTGAATACACTATAAGTAATTATTGTTACTTATATGCATAAATTAATTAAAATAATTTAATTCAGTTACCAATTTAATTTGTAAATTAAATCAGACTTTAAAATTTTTTTTAAAGTCATGATTGATTTAAACTTTTACTTTTGCTATAATTGCAACGGAAAACGGATAAAAAATGCCTTTTGCTCATAAAATTTTGATGAAGTTTCTTCAATTTTTGTAAAATATCAGTAAAATATATAAAAATAATAAATATAAAACAATGAAAGTGGCACAATCTCATTAGGTTACCAAAAAGTGCCATGGTCCCCGAGTGAGCTTATTTCAATATAAATATATTACACTTAAACTGATTGAAATTTATTGAAAGTTTCAATAAATTTCATGAAATTTCAGACATTTAGGAAATTTTAATAAATTTCAAAAATGTGAAAATTTCAAGTGAAATTTCAAGTACAATTTTCCCAACCCTACCTGAAGGCGGCGCTTCTTCTCTTGCATCTTTTTTTCGTTTTCGCGCAGATACCTCTGCACCTCTTCGACGTCGACGTCCGAGTCCGTGTCTGCGTCCTGAACGTTGTCGACGTCCATCTTCTTCTTCTTGTTCGCCCGGTCCTCCGCGCCGTTCTCCTCTTCGTCTTCTTCGCCGTTCGCGGCGGTCGCTTCGAGCGCTCGCTTGCGCTTCTTCTTGTCCTTCTTGCTGACGCCCATCAACTTCTTCTCGAACTTTACCAGGCGGTTCACGGCCTTGCGCACGCTCGTGTCGCACTCCTCTTTTTTCGGCAAGTCGAGTTTTTTCGCTCCCAGAGGGTAGTCGCCGTTGCCCAGTTTTTCGAACCTGCAACAAATTGCACGTCACTCTACGGATAAACTCCACGGCTAAATTACAAATTTTATTTAGAAATTTAGGAGGTTTTTTGGAGAATTTTAAACTATGCCGAAGGATATTTCCATTGTAACGGGTGCGACACTAAAAATGCGTTTTTTATGATAATAACGGATTTGTTCATGTAGGGGAAGGTGGGGGAATTCTGCGCATCTAAGCAAAATCTCTAGTATCTTTGTTAAGTTTAAATGTGAAATTTTGCAATTAATACCAGCGATAGTCTACTATGTTTACTATGTGTATATAATGCGCAATTTATAAAAAAAATTGTTTGGTATGCAAAAACTACATTTTTTTAAACAATGCATTTGCGCAAAATTACTCACCTATCAGGGTAATTTTGCGCATCATAGGGGGAAAATTTGAGCTGTATAGAGAAAGATTTGTAGGTATCTAAATAAACCGTTTATTTCTATAATATTATTATATTAAAACATAAAAATAAAACAAAACTATTTTCTCTATGAAACAAACAAAATCAAAAATAATTATTTAAATAACTAAAAATAAAATTTTTGTTCTTAGAAATAAGAGGACACACCTGGCCCCTGAGGATTTAAGATCGATAAAAATGGTGAGAAGAACTACTGCTACGGATCGATTCTACATATATTTACGAACATTTTCAAGCAAACCGCATGAATCAAGCCGCTCGGTTTTGTCAGTTACGGGCAAATTACGATTTACGCGCACTTCCACACTGTGTACTACACAGGCCCGCAAAAAAGTTGTCTGAACGAGGGATGTGACTATGTTTCCTTTTGTATTTTTCGACGCTGAATACTAATATGCTGTCAAAAATGGGGGGAAACGGAAAAAAACAGCTGAAAGTAGGGATTTTCACTGGTTTTTGGCTTTTCTCAGAAATATGACCAACAACCCAATTTTTATTTCAGATTCGTGTTCAAAGTGAAAAAGAAAAGTACACCCCCCGTTCAGACAACTTTTTTGTGGGCCTGTGTTTTTAAAAATTACAAAAAAATGTATGAACACATATTCCATTATTTATTTATTAAATAGTAACAATGTAATATCCGAATACAAGAAAATCTAAAACAACAAATAGATATTACAGAAAAATAATAATGATCAATATAAATATATCATGATCTGTTTTGTTGACTATATATGTTTTGATGAAAAGTCAACCACTGCATTTCTTAATCGTTCTGCATAGCCAGAATCATCCATCATATTCATTTTGTAACGGTTCCAGTATTTGACAAATTCGCGATGTATGGATTCGCCAGCCTGTTCAGACCACAATCCTAAACCTGAATAATTTAAATATGATACACATTGCTCAACGTGATTAAGCAATATATGAATTTTTAAAGTTTCAGAAATATCAGTGGCAATAAAGGCTTTTTTCAATTCTTCAATGTAGGTATGCAGGCGTGCGATCTCTACTGGCCTCGTGGAAAAACTAGAATTGACAACTTTATCCATTGCTTTAAATGCATTAATAAGAGGTCGTAATCGAAATTCTCCAACTTCTTGGTAAATTTCATAATCATCAAGCATATCAGCATTCTTTAGAAGTTTACGACAAGCGTTTCCCTCAAATATTTCTCCATGATAATTCTTTGATACCAGTTTTAATTTCTTTGGCCAAATTAATGCTTTTTCTTTACCCACTATCTTGACTAAACCATTCCAGAATATATGGTTTACATAACCCTGCAATAGGTGTAGTTCTGGTACGGGACATTTCTCCAGTACCGAAAGACTAGCGTTTTCCTCAAACAGAGGGGAATGAATTGTACTGTGATAAAATTTGGCTTCTTTCTTATCATGTTTGCCAATATCACAGAATCTCAAATAATCTGCATTTAAATCAGTGTAGGTTTTCAGCCTTTTCACTTCATTATCGGCTTTCGAAGAATCAGTATCGGTACTGATAATAACAAAAATATCGTCTCCTTCTTTCACACTGAATTCTTTGCAACCCTTTCTCAAGTCTTTTAAGGAAATGAAACAATACGGGCATGGATATGTCGATCCGGCAGTTTGTTGTCCATTAATTATTAATAAAAGTTTTAAATCTGATACAAATTTACAAGAAATATTATTAACTTTTGTGAGGTCAAACAATAATTTTACATTTTCATAGCTTTCTTTAATATCTGGAACAATGCATAACATTATAATTTTAAACACGCTGGACGGTGATAGATCTTTAATTATGGATCCTTTTTTTGCTGATGAATTTGTGAAATACTGGTTTGATTCATCACTTTCATTTTTACTGTGCACATAATCTTCAGAAAAAATAGATAAAGATATTTTAAAAAATCCCTGACCTCCATCAGCCAATATTTTAACTGCGTAATTACCAATTATATTCCTTTTGGTCAGCACTGCTTCTAACAATTCAGTGGCATCAGCCCAGACTACATGCCTACTTTTCTTGGATTTAGAATTATCAACCTCAAAATCATGGTTAGAATGTTTATAAATATCTCCAAATATTTTAGATTTGTCAACAACGTGTTCTCTATACTTTTTCGGAACAGAATTCTTCCCAGCATGAGTCCTTAAAAAACTTGTCATTTTTTTCATGTTGTTATTAGACAAACCCATATGATTCTGGTAATCATCTAAGTCTTGGCTTAAAAAGCAAATGTCCGTTTTTTTTTTAGAATTAAATTGGACTCTCAATTTTTTTGAACCATGTGTTTGTAATAATATTTCATTTTTTGAATGTGCTGAATCACAACCATCATTTTGTTTTCGTTTTAATAAATTAACAGTGATTTTGTCTACAACGGAGTCAGGAGTTGCCTCCACCAATTTAGCTAAATTATTATGCACACTTCGGGCACCCGGACATTTGTGATATTTACCAGATCCTTGTAATTCTTTAAAACAGTTTTTGCAAACCAAAGTAGTCAAGTTTTTATCCTTCCGCCATTTCTCAGTAGACACGTCAACAGCTCCAAGTTTTTTGACACATGATGAAGCATATCGCCCGTTTGAAGGGGCGATTTTTCGATTAAAATTACGTTTCTTGCCTCTACCTTTCTTGGTGCTAATGTGACTGGTATTCCGTGCTTCCAAACAAATATAGCAATTACACAAGTCACTACTACATCTTCTTAGAATTATACTTTCAAACTTAGGCATAACCGGTAATGAGCGCTTAAGATCATTTTTATCATATTCATACATTGTATTTCGACAAGAATTACAAATACTTCGTGGAAATCTTGAGTCATTGATATCAAACTTTTTATTTATATACTTTCTAATTAACTCAGCGCATTTATCACTTATATTATAAGAATATAACTTTCTGTTGCCCGGAAATATTTTTTTACCACAACAAGCACAAACCTTCAGTCTGTTATTTTCGTGATCACTAGGTAAGGTCATTTTAGATTAGTATATAATAGGATATAATAAGCCACGCAAAGAAATATTAAACGTCACGTTGACAACTTGGTCTCCAAACTTACCAGCGCCGCCTGCCATTCCGCTAAAATTTTTATTAGGCATTATAATTGAGTTCATTGCGCGTAAACCGTAAATTGCCCGTAACTGACAAAACCGAGCGGCTTGATTCATGCGGTTTGCGGGAAAATGTTCGTAAATATATGTAGAATCGATCCGTAGCAGTAGTTCTTCTCACCATTTTTATCGATCTTAAATCCTCAGGGGCCAGGTGTGAGGAGGGTCTACATGCAGCAGTTGTCACATACGTAGTTTTAGAGGTTGTTTTTTTCGCTACACTCCGCGTGTGCCCAAATGGAACTGTTTATGCTAAACAATCTAGGCTCCTGTACCAAAGCTCCCATATTGGCCAAATTTTGCAGCGCAAAATTACCCCAATTTTTCAGCGTAAAATTACCCCCATTGCAAGAAAAATATTGTGATACTAAAAAACTTTCCAAAAGTTAACCTGAACAATTTAAACATACACCAGATTACCAGGAAAGATCATATAAAGTTGTGTTATAAACATTTAAGCGATTGGACAGAAATTCAAACTTAACTCGTAGCGGAAACGACATGGATTTCTTAGATCAACGTACATGTATCACAGTTAGCTAGTGACCATGGTCACTAGGTAAAAGCTACAAGCTTAATTGCGGTACACTTTAATCCCCGTATACCCAAAGCAACGTTTCCAAGTTTGCAACATTCAAAAAATGTATTATTTACTTCATATCTGGAAGAATTGGTTATGCGTAAAATTACCCACCACGCAAAATTCCCCCACCTTCCCCTATATCAAGATACGTTAATATAAAAAAAAATAGTATGAAAAATTAGGTACGAGGTGTGTTCAGAAAACAACGGGAATTGTTAAATTTCGCGGGTTCGGAGGGTCCGGTTGTCATAAAATTTTCTTTATTATGTTGGTATACATGCCCCCGAAGTATGATAAAAACATTAGCTGTTTTCATTGTTTACTTTGTCTGTGGCATCCGCTAAGGTAAGACGTGTTTTATGAGCTCGGCGATTTTTCGTTCGTTAAAAGAAATGGATCAAAGAATTTGTATCCAATTTTGCTTTAAAAAATGAAATAATTTCTGTGAAATGTTAACAAAGGCCTATAGTGAGTCTGCTATAAGTAAAACAAGAGTTTACAAGTGGTATAAGAGTTTCCAAGATGGCCGTGAAGACGTTGAAAATGACGAACGCCCCAAACGCACAAGCACATTAACAACCGATAAAAACATGGAAAAAGTGGAAGAAATGGTTATAAACCATCAGAGAAGTCGCTGATGATGTTGGTATATCGATTGGCTTATCCCATGAAATTTTTTCGAATGTTTTGGGTATGAAACGCGTGGCAGCAAAATTTGTTCTAAAATTGTTAAATTTTGAACAAAATTTTTGACCAAAAACAATACTGTAATGATGCCCCCCCAGCCTCCATATTCGCCAGACATGCCTCTGTCTGAATTTTTCCTATTCCCGAAAATAAAGAGAACCTTAAAGGGCCGTCGTTTTGCAAGCATAGATGACATTAAAAGCGCATCGCTGAAAGAACTAAAGGCTATCCCAAAGATCGAGTTTTAGAAGTGTTTCGAGTATTGGAAGAAGAGCTGGCACATGTGCATAATATCCAATGGGGACTATTTTGAAGGCGACAACATTAATGTAGACGAATAAATAAATATTTGTTTTAAAAAACGAAAATTCCCGATATTTTATGAACACACCTCGTATGTCAAGATACGTTAATGTCATAGAGAAACTATGCGTTAATATAAAAAAATAGTATGACAAATTAGGTATTTAACTCAAACAAAATGTCAATAAAAACTTGTAAAGAAAACGTTTTATAACGTGATAAATAATGAGCATCCATCACCAATCAAGAAGCGATTAGGTGCATAATTTGTCGTTAATTATTTGTGAAAAAATTAATTTTGTCGTTCGAATACTTCATATGAAGTTAGCAAGGCATCTTCATTAAATATGTGATTAATTTTTTTTTCTTACTACCTCGACTCAAAATACGTTGTTTCGCCCCACAGACCACCAAAACAAATGGACGGCGCATTGCCATTCAATAACAATGATTTGTTTGCGGTCAACAAACGGTCACAGTCTAAGCGTCAAATTGGAGATAGAATTTTATGTTTTCTTCCAGTGACGTCATCAAACGGTCACAGTCTAAGCGTTAAATTGGCGATAGAATTTTGTTTTCTTCCAGTGACGTATTGGGATTAAAAAAATAAGTAGGTAGGTACTTACAAACGATATTTCCATGTATTGTTATTTTTAGTAAAAAATAATGTATTTAAACTCCATAATTAACTTAAACCCGAAAGAAATACACAAACGAAAACACAAAACAACAAGCTGTCAACCCACAGAACATAACCTTTTTCTATGCTGTCAAATATGACGAATTTACCAACGTTATATTTAATTTTAATAATTATTAAATGATTTACTTTCTTTAAATAGAGAAAAATATCTAAAGAAAATGATAAACAAATCCTTTTTACAATTTTTTTTATTATTTAAACGAATTTCTGGTAATTATTAATGTTCATTTTGTTATGATGAACGTCCAAAAAGGCGTGTAATCTATACTTCTGACAACGTTGGAAGCCGTGTTTCTTTCGACGGTGTTTAGAATGTGAAACTATGCTTTACTCGCTTTTTAAACGTAAACAAATCCGTCCATTTGTTTTGGTGGTCTGTGTTTCGTCCCCGATTCCACGGCAGAAAGTTTACGTTTTATGCATTGGTCAAGCTATACGCGCACACTCTAATAGCGGGAGTAAAAATTTTTTAGTCGTGTGCTTAACATTCAAATTTCGTACTGCCAACATGAGAAACACAAAAATATGACAGTTTTAAACCATAATTTTGCAATTATAACAACAAATAAACAATTTATGTTTTTACTTTTTTACTTTTTATGTTGTTTTAAGTGTTTAATGGTACTTTTATTTGTTATAAAGTAGTAATTTGTTAATTAAAATACAACTTTTATTTTTACTGTATTGGCACCGCTCAATTCACAGCCTACTGTTATTTATTTATCAAGCTCTTCAAATGGAGATAGGTACTTAAATACACATTTAATTTTTTCCCGTATTTTCGGCCGGGTTGTATTTTCGGCCGAGGTAGTAAGAAAAATAGTATACACTACACGGGCAGAAAGTGTGAGAGCCCTGAACTGCGCGCCATGATGCATGAATCATGACATCATGGCGCGCAGTGCAGGAATCTCACACTTTCTGCCCTTGTAGTGTAATATACTATTCTTACTACCTCGACTCAAAATACGTTGTTTCGTCCCCGATTCCACGGCAGAAAGTTTACGTTTTATGCATTGGTCAAGCTATACGCGCACACTCTAATAGCGGGAGTAAAAATTTTTTAGTCGTGTGCTTAACATTCAAATTTCGTACTGCCAACATGAGAAACACAAAAATATGACAGTTTTAAACCATAATTTTGCAATTATAACAACAAATAAACAATTTATGTTTTTACTTTTTTACTTTTTATGTTGTTTTAAGTGTTTAATGGTACTTTTATTTGTTATAAAGTAGTAATTTGTTAATTAAAATACAACTTTTATTTTTACTGTATTGGCACCGCTCAAATGGAGATAGGTACATAAATACACATTGTTGTGTTCGGCCGAGGTAGTAAGAAAAATAGTATACACTACACGGGCAGAAAGTGTGAGAGCCCTGAACTGCGCGCCATGATGCCCTCGGCTCATGGCAGGAATCTCACACTTTCTGCCCTTGTAGTGTAATATACTATTTTAATACTTAATATTTTAAATAAAATCGCAGCACTTACTGTTCGGCGAGGGTGGAGATCATCTTGCGCGTCTTCGTCGTCGACTGCTTGTCGAACTTGACGGCTAGCAGCGCTCGCGACACCTCCTTCGGCTGAAACTTGAGCTGCGGCAGTTCGACGTCGACGCGTCCGGCTCTCGGATCGAGCGCCGCGGCGCCGGACGACGTCTCCATCGCCTCCTCTTCGTCGCCCGCCTCTTCGCCGCTCTCGTCTGCGTCCATCTCCTCGACGGGCACCTTCTGCATGGCGTCTATTGAGCCGGGGAATCCCTCCTAAAAGTTTGCGTACAATGAGTTGATCTTAGGACCGATTTCAACAAAAAAATGTAACATTTCTTAAACAAACCTTTTTCAAAAGGTAGTTATGTACTAGTTAAAATACCATTAAAATTTTAAAAATTTAATAAAATTGAATTTTTCTTTAAACTCTTAAGACCCGGCGTACATACACATGTACAGTTGTATTCAATAAAAAGCGTACAATAATTAGAATGAGAGAAATCTGTCAAAATAAAATTATTGTTTAAAACCGGCTTATCACTGACATAAGTCATTAAAATAATTACTATAGGTTATAAAGAGCATTGACGTCGTAGGTTAATTAAATAATATTACAAAAATTATGACCTTTTAGAACATTAAAAAAAAAATTAATATTTAGTCATGCATCCGTGTTTTTTATTACTTGAGCCAATCTATTTGGGATGAACTGAATTAAATTTAATACAATATTTGGATTAATATCTTCCTAGCAGTATAGTAGGTATAGTATAGTTGTATAGTTTCCCATAAATCCTCAGATATCTCAAAAAGCAGCATCCTGTTCAGGGGTGGACATTTTGGGACTACCTGAACCAACTTTTTGGTTTAGTAAATCTTCCTGTTCCCAGCGTGGCTTAATTTTTAATATAGATTTTTTATTTCTATTATACCACGGTAGGAATTGACCATTCTTCTTCGATTCTTGATACTATTTGAGCCTTTTTAACAGACGAGGCATTTTTATTTTCTACTGTCAGTTATAGTGACTTAAGTCAGTGGAAAGCCGGTTTTACGCAATAATGTTGACAGTTTTCTCTCATTCTAATTCTTGTACGCTTTTTTAATGAATACAACTGTACTATGCTCCACCCCTTAAAGTCCCACCACGTGACCACGTACGGAACGCAGTCTTTTGAAAATTTGGCATTTAAGGCTTTTCAGGTTATGTATCTGTCAAAGTATTTTCAATGAAAGAAATAATATTTATAGTTAATAAATCTTTATAGTATCACAATAACAATGGTTGGTTTAAGAATTTAGGAATATAAATACTGCATTTAATGAAATTCCAAAGTGTAAGGTGCAATATAATATATAAAATAGTTTTAACTAAACAGCATTTATTAAAAAAAATCTTCTCTATTATGAAATAAGAATATCTGTATCAAAGGTAGGTTAATGTATAAGAACAAAAAATATCATCTAATTTTGTATTTTAAGGTTATAAAAATCTATTTTGACCAAAATTAATAATTGGATTATTTGAAAGAGTGTGTTAATATGGTCATAAATTAATATAGGTATACTAAATAATTGTTAAATATAGTTCAAATTAAATTGAAGCTTCAAAGCTTCAATTTAATTTGATAAATTTATATTAGGTTGTTGATTAGAAAGCCATTATCCAGAGTGTAGTTCATGATTAAAACAATAGTTAGTTGTACTTTCTGAATATATTAAAATTATTTTCTCGACTAGTTTCGCCTATTCGGCATTATCAGGAGATACAAGTGTTTTATGTGAATTTAAATATGTGTTTTACAATTGCCGGTTTTCAGTATCTCCTGATGATGCCGAATAGGCGAAACTAGTCGAGAAAATAATTTTAATATATTCAGAAAGTACAACTAACTCTTGTTTTAACCATGATATAAATTTATACTTATAACGACTATAAATTTATACTTCTAACGACAAAACTTGTGCATACCTCTCGGCATACTTACTTTAAGTTAGATTATAAGAAAACATTAATTTTTAGAGAAACTTGCAATGTGAAAATATTTAATACTCCCATGACATGTGATTTATTAAAACTTTTAAAGTTATAATGATTTTTTGATGTAGATCAAATTCAGTCAAAGCTTTTTAACTATTTGTATTGACAAAACTTTATGTAGGTACACTTTAAGCTGGATAAGAAAAACTACCACATTTTTAAATACCATATTATACAGTCTTTTAAATTATCCAAAATACTTATTTATTTTGGTCAAAATAAATTTTTCTAACCTTAAAATTACAAAATTAGATGATATTTTTGTTATAATATATTAACCTACCCCTTTAATACAGTTATTCTTATTCCATAATAGAGAAGCTAGATTTTTTTTAAATAAATGCTTTTAAGTTAAAATTATTTTATGGAGAAACCCAGATATTTGGACCAAATGCACAAAAACATTACTTATTTGGCACCATACACTTTAGAATTTCATTAAATGCAGTATTTATATTCATAAATTCTTAAACCATCCATTGTTATTCTAATGTTATAAAGATTTATACATTTTTAACGCCTAAACATAATATTATTTCTTTCGTTGACTATACTTTGTCAGATACATAACCTGAAAAGGGGTGGGGTGGGACTTTGATGTGTGGAGCATAGTACAGTAGCTTTTTAGTAATTTAATTACTATGACCGCAACAACACGTTGACGACAGTTTGTCTTAGCGGATCTTTGGATGATTTATAAAAATATTTTTTGTGTATAAACTGGTGTAGTTTGTTCCTAAAGGTATGTAATAAGACATCTTAAAACTATTTTGGTATTATCTACACCTAAGATGTATAAAACATTCGATGTACTATTGCGGCCGATAAAAAGTAATCGACTAATTTTCCCGTTGTAAATATGGTTATCACCAGTGGCATTTCAAAAATAATTTTATAAAATTAAGTAACGTCATCTTAAATTAAGTAAAGTCATTATTTAATTATGCCTTACCATACTTTAAGTGAAGCAGAGAAAGGCTATATTATCGCCAAAATTGGAGAAGGATGGTCTCAACAACAAATAGCAGATGAAATAAACTGCAGCAAAAGCGCTATTCAAAAATTAAACAAAAAGTGGGTGGAAACTGGTGACCTGAGTAGGGTAATGGGTTCTGGGCGTCCAAGAAAGACAACTCCAGTAAACGACAACGAGTTGATTGAATATGTGAGGCAAAACCCATTTTCTAACTCCATTCAAGCCAAAGAGGAAACCAACTTCCCAGCATCTGTTAGGACGGCAAGAAAACGGTTGCGAGAACAAGGTTTATTTAACTGCGTGAGTGCTAAAAAGCCTCGCTTGACGGATGTTAATAAAGAGGCAAGAGTGGAGTTTGCAAATAATTTTTTAAATCAAAACGCTGAATATTGGGAGCGAGTAGTCTTTTCAGATGAAAAAATATTTCAATCCTGCTACAATGGGCAACTGCGAGTTTATCGTCCCAGAAAGCATAAGTTTGATGAAGAATACCTCCACAAAACTGACAACAGCGGAAGATTTTCTGTCCACGTTTGGGCGTGGATATCATCTTCAGGGGCTGGTATAATTCATATTGTAGAAGGCCGATTAACTGGGAACCGATACGTGGAAATTTTAAACGATGTAATGCTTCCGTCAGTGCAAGAAAGATTTAATAATGATTTTGTGTTTCAACACGTAACACTTTATGATTTATCTTTACTGATCAAAAAAATATATTTTTTCATTTTAAGGATAACTCGCCAGTTCACACTGCTCATGTGGTTCATAATTGGCTAGAAGAAAATCACATTACAACGCTTCCTTGGCCGTCAAGAAGCCCCGATTTAAACCCAATCGAAAATATTTGGGGATATCTCGTAAAAAAAATATATAAATATGAATTTAGACCAAGATATAGATCTTCGAAGACCTTATTAATGCAATTCAAAATGAGTGGAACAATTTGGAAGAAAATTACGATATGCAAAATTTAATTAGTTACAAAAGATTAAGATTACAAAATGTTATAGAGAAGAATGGTGGTTCTACCAAGTATTAATTATTTTTTTTTAATGGAGTTTTTATAGCATTACAAATGTGTAAGATTATGTAAGATAATGCCCGAGGGAGGGCTGAATGAAAAAATTGCCAGGGCCGGTTTTTCTGAGCTCATCCAACCCTGGTTGGCTCATCTTTTATAATTGTTATAGTCGTAGTATACTATTTCTTTTTAAGTTTAAATTTATTTATTTTGGTCGCCCAATAAATAATTTGTTCTTTTTGTTTGTATATATATATATATTATATAATTTAAGTTTTTTTATTAAAAAATTAAATATGTCATACACCTATGATTTCTTGTCAAAATAATTTAATTGACATGGCTGACGTAAAAAAACCTAATTACAATAGCCAATTTTTAAGAAAAACATGCAACTTGATAAAGAATCGATTACTTTTTATCGGCCGCAATAGTACATGCATGTGAAAATCCTGAAATTATCCTGAAATTTCACAATTAAGATTTTTTAGCATCAAATATGTGTTATTTAAGTCCTAATTCGATAGATTTAAGAGCCATTTATTTTTTTTATCTTCGTAAAATAATTCAGGTCTGAAGGATAACCTAGTCCAGTAAAAAAAGATTGTAGAAGGAAAACTCGATGGTAGTCGGGTCAGGGTTCCCAGCATTGTTTTGTACTTTTTTTTTATGATTTTATGACAAATTTTTCAAATTTTATGACATTTTTTATGACAAGAATTTATTATTTCTAAAGTTATTTAATAAAATAAATGTAATTTTTTAACGGTTTATTATATAAAAATAAATATTTTTTCTCGCATCAAAATAAATATTTCTGCTATAATATTTTTAATATGTATGTTACTTTAGTATTTTATTATTATAGGTATTATAATCTCAAAATAAATAAAACCACAAAGGTATACAAATCTGAAATATTGGAGGCTCAAACAATGATTAACATGGGTCTCAAAAAAGCAAAAAAAAAATAGTAGGTATATGTATATACCTATAGGTACTATTTTTTTTGCTTTTTTAGTTATTGTTAAGGTACTTCGATAATTTCTTATTTCCTTCAGAAATAATAATTCTTGTTATTTTTAACTCTGCTTCCTTACTTGCTAAAATAGTATCCATTTCTTCAAGTCCTTCTTTGTGCCTTCCTTAGTAAAGTAATATAGTATAAAAATAAATTTACCTTTCTCATTATTTATTTCAAATTTAAAATTCATTTCCTAACCTAACTTCTTTTTCCTTCATAGTATGAAGTTCATACTTCAACAACCAAGGCCATATTTAAAACATTTTATTGCGTTTTATTCTACAGGACCGGCTTTAAATTTTATTTAACAAAATTTCCATTTTATAAAAAAGATCAAAGGTGAGAAAATTGTTAAAAAATAATGAAATTTTATGATTTCTATGACAAAATGTGAATTTTATGACATTTTAGGACAATTTAACCAATTTTATGAAATTTAAAAAATTTATGACAAACGGGAACCCTGTCGGGTTTTATTTTTTTTTATGTAGTCAGGGGTGCTGATAATGAATCAAGAATATTTTCAAAAAATTTCTTTCCGCGACCGATAGATTTAAGAGCCATTTATTTTTTTTATCTTCGTAAAATAATTCAGGTCTGAAGGATAACCTAGTCCAGTAAACAAAGATTGTAGAAGGAAAACTCGATGGTAGTCGGGTTTTATTTTTTTTATGTAGTCAGGGGTGCTGATAATGAATCAAGAATATTTTCCAAAAATTTCTTTCCGCGACCCCTAATAATTTCATCCCCCGAAAGGGGAGTTTTTTTGTTTTTTGGCTCATAACTCGCTAACCGTGCATTTTTTCAGAATGTGACCTCTTATACTTTTAATTAGGTACTAAATAAGGCACACGTTAAACCCCATTGCGCACCTATATGATGTGCCCTTTTGCTATGCGCAGTGTGCAAAGTTGAGCGTTGCTTTCAAAATCACTTTTTTTTATTATTATAGCCCAATTTTAAAAGTAATCGATACCAAACCTTACGGTAATCCAACATAACCGAATGGACGATTTTTTGAGGTAGTAGACTTTTTTCCAAAGTTTTTGCTTTTCAATGTAGTTCTTTTTTCAAAAAACCCATTTTTTATTTCCCAAACGGCTTTAATGCCAGTTCGTTCTACCCTAGATTTTTATTTTGTAAAAATTTCAAATCGATAGGTTTTGAAATAAAAAAGTTATTAAAAAAATAAAGTTTCTTAATTTTTAACACATTAAAGAAAAAAATAAAAACCAAAAGAAAGTGGTCAATGGACGAGATTTTTTTTTTTTAAGTACTGCATTTAGATGTAAGTAAAAAAGTTTCAATCGATTTCTTGAACCCTTGCAAATCGACCGTTCGATCCTTTCGCGAAACCGTAGTTAATATGTCAATAGCTATTATGTTTTAATTTTATTTTTGGGCTCAGAAAGCTTAGGAAAAATACCGTTTATTAATATAATTTGAAAAGAGTAAAAACAACCCTTCAGGGGCGGAGAAAAGGAAGATAGTTTAAAAAAAACACATTTTGCTACAAATCATGGCTTATGGGTTATTTGATATAGAATAATTATTACAAATTAATATATTAAATATTTCAATTATTAACTGTAGGTCTTAAATAATAAGAGAATCCAAAAGCTTTTGCAATTTTAAATTAAAACAACTTACAATTAATCTTTAAATTCATTTAATATGTTGGCTATTAAATGCAGAAACACATCTATAAAACATATATTTATAAGGTTTTTTTGTTTAAATTAAACCTTGTCGAAAAGGTACTAAAAGCATGATGTACTTGCTTAGATGCTTGTTCAGAAAAAAATCAAGGGCCATTTGACTTTCTTTGATAAATTCAGGCACATGATGAATAAGAGTATGGATTTTAGGTGTATATGCTAAAGAAGTATCGCTAGTAGAGACACCACTCGGCTGTTATCATCTTAACAAAAGTACAACTTTTAATAATCAGCTGTCAAACGCTTATGTTACAAACGAGTGTTTGTGAGAATAAAGCCGGAAAATGTTAAAAAATATCGAAAAAAAACCGTGTCTCGATTTGTTATGTTGTTGGGTGTATTTCGAGAGGAAATCCTGGGTTGAGTTTTTACCGGTGTTAATCTGAATGAAGAAATAAATTGCATACAGTCTCTATAAATATAAATTGTACCTATTAGATACAATAAATACACATTTTAGTAGTGATTAACGTGAAAAGTGTAAACATTTCAATTCAGTAAAATCGCCAAACAAATAAGTCGTCTAAATTTAAACAGCATTTAGCATTATTAAAAAAAAGCGTTGATTAAGATAGTCTCCACTCAACGGTAAAATACCATTCGTAGGTATATTTTGTTGATTAAAATGCAGTTGGCGTTTTTAGAGAACTCAAATATAAAAATGGTTGATTTTAAGGTTATGTTTGTGCAAAAATTATTTTTTACTAATTTCTTAAAAATGTCCATTATATTAGGTAAAGTTATCATTAGTTAATTCTGCACCAACAAATGTACTTACCGAATTGGATCCTTTGGCAAAACATGAAAATGCAACGATTTAGTTATTGAATTTTATTTACAATTAAAAACACAATAATTCACCATGATTCCTTAGATAAAATACACACACTAACGTAACGTAAGCATTTAAGCGTTGAGTTCCTTAATCAATGATATAAGGATAATCAATCGAAATCGAGTACTAAAAAAGTTTTTTAATTTTTTCCTTGCAACGTAAAACACAAAAAACGTGCGCGATTTAACTCTGCAACTGAACAAAATTTGTCGAGTAAGATTTCTGCCTTTCCCTCTTTTGTGTAAAAATGATGTATAATCTGTGCTTTAAATGTATTGTTGACAATTCTTAAATACACGCAATGCTATCGTCCACCAGATGGCGCGCGCGTTGCGAAAACCCGATACTTCTTTAGCGTATAATGCTGACAGCTTGACAGAAACCAAATTAATAGTGACGCTAAATAAAATAGAGTATGCTATGGATAGCTTATGTAGTACACAACAACCTTTTAAAAAATTTTATATTTTTTTTTTAAATCGATCCTGTGACCAACTGAGGAACCCTCGCAATTTTAGTCACGAGCTTAATTTTAAATGAGTGTCTAGAAAAGCTTATAAACGAGTTGCATACTATAGAGCGGGGATGGCGAACCTTTTTTAATGTGCATGCCAAAAAACTATTACAAATATTTTTTCAAATAATAACGTGCCACAAGTAAGTGTTATGAAGATGAAAGTATACAAAAACATTATAAAAATAGTAGATCATTATTTAGAATTTTTTTTATTTATTGTTATATTTTAAGAAATAAATTTAGTCTCGTTTTTTTTCATTAGATTATATCTGTACCTTACGATTTAGAAGAAATAAAATATCAAAATCTAACATAGATGCATACTAAAAAATAGATGTTCATAAAAATTGTAAATAGAATTATTTTATTTGGAGCATTAAATTACTAAAAAGGTTCTATGTTGTAAATTTCAAGAAAATGGCATTTTTGTTTTTTATAAAAATAACCCATTTTGTTTTAAAATTCATGGTTCTTTTTAAAACCATTATTGTTCAAGATATTTAAGTCTGTATAGTATCAAAGTCTAGCTTATTCTTACGTTAAACTTTGTAATAAAACATTCAAGATTATAAATTAAAAGCTTTACAAACAAAGAAGATTTATCGTTGTTTATATTTAACACCTAGATAAAATTCTAGCGATATTTATTAAAAATTGTAGTATTTGTCGCTTATGATTACAAGGCTAACATAGACATTAAATTTTACGGAGTTTAGTTATAACTTATAAGTTATGTTTTAATTGGAATAAAATACGCAAATTATTAAACTTAAAAATTAGCTTAAGATGAACAAATTTTGTTCTCAAAAAGTGCCAAGAAAAATTTAAAACGTGCCAATCATGGCACTCGTGCCATAGGTTCGCCATCCCTGCCCTAGACAAAATATCAAATTTTTGCGATTAACCACGAATTTACTGGAAAATTGCATTTCCAATAAAAAAAAATAATATTTCCGCAACGATGAATTTAGCCCACTCGAAACTTTTGGTGAAAGTTCATATTATCATATAACAAAAAAAACATGAAGTAAAAAAAAATGTGGCAATGGTCAAAATTTTGACCTCATTTTTTTTGCCTCCTTTAGAAACAATTTAAAAAAATAAGTAGAGTAAATCATAAGAAAAAATTGTTAGAAAGAAAATTACAAATGATAAAAAATGATTTTTAAAACGTAATCCTGTTAGTGGGCCTGGGGATATAAATTAATTAATAAATAATATAAAAAATAAACATACCTTTTTCCAAGCGTTATACTTTTCTTGATACTCCAATCCCAAGTCTGACTGCCTTATAAGGTATGTAAAAATAAATTTTCTAATATGTGCAATCTCCCGGCCATCGTTTGAAGCAGCCAATCGAATTATAAATGGTTTCAGAAAATCTACAACCCTCTGAGGTGATACAATTTCACCACCAATCTAAAAAATTTAAATATTTTACCATGTAGGTTGTACTTAAAAAAGTACAACTTTGGTGATATGTTAAACAAATATTAGAAATATTGTTGGGGAATATTTCTAATATTCATGTAGGTTATAATTAAAAACATTTTTTAATCTGTAGATATTTGTGCATAATGATTTAGGATTTAGGAATTTAGGTATTACAACATACTTTACATAAGGGTTAATGATTAAAAAAATGTAAAAAAAATATTTACAATTGGTATACTTACTTTTGATAACTCCTCAAGATAAATTTCCGTAAAATGCATAAAAAGTCCTAACGGTGGTTTCTTTTCATTATTTAATATAGTGCCGGATAGAATTTCTCCAAAATGATCAACAGACGTTTTGGTAAATTTATCGTCCTTTAAAACTATTAAAGTTTGCCTTAATAGTCGTCTGGTAAACTACAAATTAAAAAAAATCATTATTAAGTGGCAATAATAAAATGTAAACATGTACAAAATTCGCACATACTTTGTCCAAGTTTTTTAATATTCTTAACCATTCTTTGACCAAGTGCGTTCGCGGAGATGTTACATTTACATAAAAAACCAAATGTAAGTAATAAAATGTGTATTTACTTACACTAGAACATTTTTTGAGTAACATTTTATTATTTCAAAATGTAAATTAGTAATAAATATAAAAAAGTTGTGCATGCTAAAGTTCATTTTTTTATCTGGACTGCGGCAACGTTGCAAATTTAGGGTTTTGGTTGGTAAATACAGTTGTCAAGTTGGTCGCATTGATTAAAACAAACTAAGCTTGTTATACATCTAATTGTGGTTATGTATAAATTATTGTAGGTTACATTGTGCAGTTGTCAAGTTGAGTTGTCGAAATTCGTAGTTAAAAATGCAATTAATTTGGCTTTGGTGGTGCTTGGATGAGTAAAATCATATAAAAAAAGTAGTTAAATATAGGTTGCTTTACGGCCCAGAAGAGAAAGTATTCCTAGCGGATAATAATCTTCGCTTTGAAAAGAATTTATATAAAAGAAAGTAAATTTTTTTGTGAACGTAAATGTTGTTCAATGGTGAATAATGTGAAAATAATGTGTGATGTAATATTTATAAAACCAAATTCGTTACTTTTTTACTCCAAAAATGTCCATAAGGCGATGTACTTTTTCTTCCATTGTGGCATTTGGCATAATTTCATCAAAATGAAGTTTTGCCCTCAAAAGGGCATAATTATCTTTTTATTTATAATTGACAAATAAATTATCAATAATAAATATTATTGTCAATTTGATAGCGTCAAAGTATTTAATTAAATTCTTTAGCAGAAGTACCATTTTTAAATACTAAAAATACCAAGTCAAACTGGCATAAGCCACCAACTAAAGCTTAATTTTCATGTATCCGTTTGTCCGTCATCCGTATGTCAGTTTTTCAATAAAATCGTCCGATAAGAAATGTTCTAATTTTCATGTATACGTTTTTTAATGACGTTTAACGGATTGATTTTGCGACAAATAGAAATTAAGTGTCAGTATATTCACTTACTAAATTTACCTAATGCTTAATTAATGCAAACACACTTCCTCTTAAACAAAGAATCTTAGTCTATGATTCCTATATCAAGAGTCAATTGGCATACCTCATACCTTTTTGGGCAACAGCAAACGAAACCGCTAAAAAATCGTTGCAGCGAAATCAAAATAAAATATTAAAGATTATGTACAAAATGGACAAATACATGCCTACTGAACAACTTTATAAGATCACCAAACAGCTAAATATCGAAGAGCTTAGACAACTAGAAACCCATAAATTAGTGCACAAGATCATAACAAATAAGATACTGGATGAAGAAGTAACATTTAGAAAAAGAGCGGACACACATGAACATAATACAAGAGGACGTGAACAAATAGACATAGAAAGAGACAAAACAATTGTTAATTTTAAAATATGGAGAAATGAAAATAAAACATCAAGGGTACAAACTATACAACAAATTACCAGAGAATATAAAAAACCTACCCGAGACGACTTTCAAAACCAACTTGAAAACTTTTATTTTGCACCAAAGAATATCTACTTAATATATTTACTTATTTATTATTTATCATATAAATCCAATATTATACATACTTATTTATTATATTATATTTATACTTATCCGATATTATCGCTACTGTGATATTTAGGATGTACTTTTTAAATAAAAAAAAAATTGTCATAGTTACAATGGGGTAGTTAAATTTTTTCTGACCTATACTTTTTATGGTTTTATTCAAGGCGTTTTGTAATATTAAACATTTCTGTAAAATCAGAATTTCAATTGAGTTTACCGTTTTCGAGATATTTACAAAAAATATAAATTTTTATGACGTCACAAACCTCGCCATGTGACCAACATTCTAAGATTTCTATTGGTTGAAAATTACCCTGTTGTCAAGTTGTCTTGTTAATGATTTCATTCGGTTATGTCAGAAAATACCCGAAGAGGTTATGTACAAATACTGTCACTGTCAGTTGAGTGAAAGAAGAAGAGGAGGTTAAAGAAAATTATGAAATTATAAAAGTTTTATTGATAGGTTTACACATTGAAACACTGTGTGAAACCTAATAAAATGTAATAAATAGGTACCTAATAACTGTCTAAAGCAGAGTTTAATATATTTCATAGAAAAAAGTGTCAAAATAAAGCTGAAAATGAATGAAATAAATTTACAAAAAATAACAGTACATGTAAGTTAACAATGGTATTTATGATATTTGTGTATAGTTTTTATAAAACTTGCATCCCTGATGATGAGCATCAAAACCTTTTGTAAGATTAAAAAAATGTATGACAAACTTTTGGACTGTTCGAAAATACTATGCTCTAGAGTACTTTTCGACAATTCTATTTTTAATATTGCTGCAATAACGTACATGGTAGGTAAAGATAGTGCAGGGTCTACAAATAGACATTTTGATTAAAATTATTCAAACAGATGGTCACCAAATTCATTAAGTACCTATCTTCCTTATTACGAGGTATCATATTACTGTTTGATATTTTAGAGTCCAAGATATATCTAAAAGAATATAAAGAACTAGGCATTATACTAATGAAATGCATTTACGACAAAATATGATTATAATTATAGGTACTTACTTTATTTGTTTAAAAGCTCCAATGTTCAATGTAACCAACCATTCCACAAGATTCCTCTGCTTTGGAGTCCGTTATCAATAATATCAATTACAAATAACATAACAATAACATTGATTTTCAATAATCTAAATTTAAAAAAAACATAACCCAAAAAAAAGAAACGTCAAAAATTCAATTCTTCTTCTTCTTCTTAATTAAAATTATAGATCAAGTGGTTTTAAAACTAAAATATTATAACGTGGCGCCATCTATCGTAAGAATCTTAAACTAAACACACTGGCAACAATAGAAAAACTGGCAACGTTGTCAATAGCCTAGTGACGTAATTAGGAGATTTTTTTTGTAAATATCTCGAAAACGGTAAACTCAATTGAAATTCCGATTTCACAGAAATGTTTAAAATTACAAAACGCCTTGAATAAAACCATAAAAAGTATAGGTCAGAAAAAATTTAACTACCCCATTATGTCAAGAATTGTAACTTTAACAGTTAGCTGTCTAATAAATTTAAAGGTAGGTAAATATACCTTATAAAAAGAATATACTAGCCCTAATATACATTAAAATGTATAGTTTTAAAAAAGCAGGTCCTTTTAGTTCTAGTTTTATTTTTTTTTGTTTGTCCTTTCTTTTTTTTTCGTTATTCTTATTAAATAAAAACTTAACAGTAAAACATTATTCACATAACGAACGTAATATTTTCGTTTTACAATCTTATTGAAAAAATATAAAAATATTTGAAAATAAATTATCTTAAAATAACGTTAGGCGTCAAAAACAGACGGATAGTGACGGATGAGTTAAAATTATTTAACCTTTCTCTGTCAGTACGTACGAAGTTGAAACTTGACGGACCGATAAAATGTCATAATTTTCGAATTATAATTGGACCAATAAGAGCGCTCCCGGATGAACGGACTGACGGACAAACGGATACATGAAAATTAAGCTTAACAAAAAAACACGAGTCCAGATCCAGAAAAAATTGTATATTTGTAATTTTAATTAAAGAAAACTTAATAAGGTTTTATAAGTAGCTCAGACAGGCTTGGTTAGTGCCTGAGCACAGTTCTGCGCGCGCTACTTATAAAACCGTATTAATATGTTTTGTGTAGTATAAAAACTTCGTCGTAGATAAAGTATATATATAGTATGCAACTCGTTTATAAACTTTTCTAGACAATCGTTTTTATAAAACACTTGCTCTCAAGCTTTGCTCGTGCTTAATTCAAAATATGATGATATTTATATAAATATCCAAATATCTGATATACAGTGTTGGCCATAATTTTTGCAACCACTGTAAAAAAAATCTAACTCTAAAACGCCTTTATTATTCTTTATAAAATTTTGGATAAAAATACTTATATCTCAGTTTACGTGTTCGAGGGTTTTTCTAGAAAATATTTTTAAAGCCCTTTTATTTAATAATGAAAAAACGTTCGAAAAAAAACTTTTAGGGAAATTTTTTTAAGTAAATAAAAAATATGCTGTTAAAGACCGTATTTTTGTTAGTATACCCTGAAAATTTTGTACAAATCAAATGAACAGCAACGAAGATACAGCGCTTCAAAGTCGTCAAAAATGACCACTTTTCAGCCAAATAATCAAAAAGGGGCCATTTTTACCGACTTTGAAGCGCTGTATCTTCGTTACTGTTCGTTTAATTTGTACAAAATTTTCAGGGTATACTAACAAAAATACGGTCTTTAACAGCATATTTTTTATTTACTTAAAAAAAATTACCCTAAAGTTATTTTTCGAACGTTTTTCATTATTAAATAAAAGGGCTTTAAAAATATTTTCTCGATTCGCTAATTCTAAAGCAAGGCGTAAAGCATTTATATAATTATATAAGTTTCTACAATTTTGTTTTCTTATTAATAATATACAGGGTGTTATGTAATTAATGTTATATATTAAAATGGGTTGTTCCTTAGGGTCAATAAAGAAGCACCTGAAACTTATATAAAATATAAATGTTATATATTAAAATGGGTTGTTCCTTAGGGTCCATAAAGAAGCACCTGAAACTTTTTTTTCTAAATTCCAAAGACTAAAAATAATTTATAATAACCTTCATCCTACCAAAAAGTACGCCACTGATCGACTAGGAACTTTAGGCTAATCTGGTTGCCTAATTTAATTTATTTTATTTATTTAATGGTTGGTAACAACAGATTTTCCAAATTCTGTCAAAAAAGTTGACAAACATTGTTTAAATTTAGCCTAATTACAACAATGACAAAATTAACAATGCAAATTGTCAATTTGGCGTTTTTATTAATTGTTGGTTATGTCATTTTTGTACTGAAGGTAAATTCAAACAAAATCTGCCAACTTTTATGACAGAATCTAGTGCATTTCTTTCAAATTTTAGGTTATGTGCTCAAATTGTAAATATCTTAACTAAAGGAAGTGCTTTTGGATTTATTTACACAAATTAAATGTTTAAAGTTTAACCTGTGAACTGGTCCCAATTTCATCTGATTAAACAGAAAGAAAAAACCGATGAAAAAATTAATTTTGGGGTTTTGGATTTTTTTTAAATAGGTACTAAATTTTCTAATCATTGCTTAATCTAATAGCTGGATGAGTAAATAAATACAGAAGGGTATTAGAACTTTAAGGGCATAACACTTTTGTATTTATTGAGTTTTTATTTATTTTTTGCAAAAAAATCTTTAGTAACAATTTTTTACATCTGGCAACGCGCAGCTACTTTGTTGGTTGGTATCTATGTACTCACAGAACACTAGTGTGCAGAGATAAACCAAGTGTGTAAGCAGTGGCATATCACAAAAAATATAAAAAACTTCTAATGCATATTTTTTCTTTATCTTCTTTATGTCAAAAGGTATTCAGTATTTTAATATATAACATTAATTACATAACACCCTGTATTATAGTATTATCTTTAGGTTTTTTTATGTTGTATTTTGCCTATTAAATGTAATTTTTTCTTTAATACCTAGATACCTTGTTTTATTTTATTTTTTAGTTTATTTATCAAGTTATAATAATTATGGATTTTACTTTTCTAGCTCCCAGGTATGTTTATGGGTCAGTTGCTAGGTCCCTAAGCATATTTTGTAATGCAAGTTTATAAATATAAACACATCATATATTTTTGCTTTTGCAACTAAAAACGAAAAATTGAAAAACTACAACAGTCAATAGAAATCTAAAATAATATTTTAATAAAAAATAAAAAACAATAAAAGGAGTAAAAGAGTTTAGGATGAAATCTGTCTAGCAAATGGTAGATCCAGATCCGAATCTGAATCTTCATTTTCATTTGTAGAGGGATTTTCTAAATGTTTCTGGTACTCCAGCCAAACCCAATCAGGATCAAGTTTCTTTAATTGGTCTTTGTTGCGAAAATATTTAAACAAAAATACTAGTTTTTCATACATTTATACTTACTGATAAATAGAATTAAAAAAAAATATTGATATATATCAGGACAAATATCGTCCCATAAATATCATGATATTTATCAAGATATATATCAGGATATTTATAACTGATATATACCATTCCAGCCTTGGCTTAATTAAACTTGTAACTAATTTGGCGTTTATTAAACTTTATACATAGATAATATACTATTAATTACACTAGTTTACAAAATCGAAAAAAATCTGCCCACCATATCCCATTATAGTTTTCCCATGTATTTTGACCCACTAAACACGAAAATCACACATTTTTTTTATGGAGGCCTTTTTGAAATATGAATTTTAAATTGCTTTTTTTCAATCTTCGGAGGTGTTTTGGTCAAACAAGCCCTTAAATTGAAGGTATTTGAACCCTCTAAAATTTTCTTTTACATACTTTTGACTTTGGATAAGTATTTTGACGCTAGCGATTTTAATAACTTAAAAAATTCGTTTTCATGGCAAAAATTTAAATATCTTCCTGGGAAAGGTTTAAATCAAACAGATAACTCCAGTTTGGATTTTTTTAGTGAAGCTGACATTTTTACAAAAAAAAAACAAGCTAATGTTGATAAAAATACATGAAAAAAGTTATAAATTTTTTAGTGGAAGACCAAAATTCAGCTTTTTGACGATTTTTTTTTCTTTTATTTTGTAATATGTTTAGCCTTTAATGAAAACCTAAATAAAGTGTATGATTGGAATTTTTTGAGCTTTTTACGTACTTTTTTCACCGAAAACATTATTCAAAATTTAAATTTAACATGACTCCGCAAACGTGAATTCTTTTGTTTCTCGTGTTGGCATAGTGACATTTTACTGATATTTTTTGATATTTCAACAAGGTATTTTTATCATGGTTTTATTTAGTTAATAAAAAGTGTAAAATGAGTAAAAGAAGTAGAGAGTTCGAGTGAGTAAATAACCCGCACAATCTGGGCGACGTAAGTGATGAGCACGGAGAACGTTTTCACCAGCAAATGAAGGCTATGGAGCGGCGGTATCACGGCTTCTGGGATGCAGCCATGATGGGTGATTACATTTGGTCCCTTATAGGAGAAACGGAATTCGAAAGCAACAAAAAACAGCCAGAATTTTTTTAAACCTATGCTTATTACAACAAAATCTCGAACAAATTAAAATGTTCAATATTTATGGTTTAATATTCAATATATAATTTAATTTCAATATTTAAAATATAAATTAATGTTCATTATTAAATTTTATATAATTCAATAAAATGAAGAAAAAACGTAAAAATTCTCGAAAAACTGAATTTTAGTCTTCCACTGAAAAATTCATAACTTTGCCATTTATCCATGAATTTTTATAAACAGCAGCTTATTTTTGTCCCTGAAGTATAATCTATACGTAAATTTTCGACCCTTTCACAGAAAGATATGTAAATTTTCGACCTCGATTTTTGTAAAAAAAAAGTACTTTTTCAACTTCATAAAATCGCCAGTATCGAACTACTGAGCCGATAACAAAACTATACAAGAGAAAGTTGTAAAGGGCTCAATTACCTTTGATTTAAGTGCTTGTTTGGTCAAATCGATTAATTAGAACTCGTCTAAAACGTCAAAACACCTCAGAAAATTAAAAGAAAACAATATAAAATTCATATCTCGAAAACGCTTCCATGAAAAAAAATTTAAGTGTGATTTTCGCGTTTAGTGAGCCAAACTACACAAGAAAATCATAGTAAGACATGGTGGGCAAAATAGCTGTAAACTAGTGTTATTAATAAATTAATGTGTTTCATACTTTGGTTAAAAAAAATTTTTTTCTAAATCCATCACTCTAAAAGTTTATTTTCAAAAATAATTAAAAAAAATTGCTACAAGTTTGTGGTTTAGAACTTTTTTTAAATGTTTTTAAAATAATACCTATTTATTGAAAACTATAAAAAAATTCTTTTTCTTACTACCTCGACTCAAAATACGTTGTTTCGTCCCCGATTCCACGGCAGAAAGTTTACGTTTTATGCATTGGTCAAGCTATACGCGCACACTCTAATAGCGGGAGTAAAAATTTTTTAGTCGTGTGCTTAACCATGGAGCCTACACAAGGAGCCCGAACTTAATAGGAAAAATTGACAAAACCTGCCCTCTAAATTGCACAAATTAAGTATTTTTTTTCACCACCAGCGGCGCTGATTGTTGATGCGCCCTGACGTCTGCTCTTTTGGTAGCGTTTCGGTACAAATTAGTCAATTGTTTCAGAGTAAACAGTACACCAGCGCCTACTTTCCTTGGGAAGATTTTTGTTTACATGCAGTTCGGACTCCTTGTGTAGGCTCCATGTGCTAACATTCAAATTTCGTACTGCCAACATGAGAAACACAAAAATATGACAGTTTTAAACCATAATTTTGCAATTATAACAACAAATAAACAATTTATGTTTTTACTTTTTTACTTGTTATGTTGTTTTAAGTGTTTAATGGTACTTTTATTTGTTATAAAGTAGTAATTTGTTAATTAAAATACAACCTTTTATTTTTACTGTATTGGCACCGCTGAATTCACAGCCTACTGTTATTTATTTATCAAGCTCTTCAAATGGAGATAGGTACATAAATACACATTCAATTTTTTCCCTTATCTTCGACCGGGTTGTATTTTCGGCCGAGGTAGTAAGAAAAATAGTATACACTACACGGGCAGAAAGTGTGAGAGCCCTGAACTGCGCGCCATGATGCATGAATCATGACATCATGGCGCGCAGTGCAGGAATCTCACACTTTCTGCCCTTGTAGTGTAATATACTATTCCTTTTAGAAAATTTTAACTTAATGGCATTTTTTTTTTAATTTTTCGATTTTGCTTTTTGGGCAAAATTTATTGAGGGCAGAAGATTATTTTAAACCTTATATATTTTTAAAACATCTCAATTTGTATTGTTTCATAATTTATATTGGAAAAACAAAAAAACAGTTTTCCTTTCTTACTTTTGTAAACAAAAATATGAACTTGTAAATAGATAACAGGTTTTTTCAGTAATATATTAAAATCATTTTCTACACAGAAAAAAAGTAAATGTTAAGTTATGTTTTAAATGTTACTAATGCAATGATTATTGTACTTAATATATCACGTGTCAAGATTTACATACAGTCATTTTTGCTGCTGGTGCTCGTGAAACTTTAAAGAAGATAGAGGGAGCTGTATATTTTGTAAATTTCATCAAAATTGGAAAAAAATTGTTGGTGTAACTGTTACACTGTAACAGCACTTTTTGGCCAAAATACGATTTTAATTTAAAAAAAAACTGCAAAATGTGATAAAGTAACATTTGATTAAAGTTTCAGCTAAATTCAGCAAAAATCCCAGCTCCCAATTTTAATTTTAAGAGGTTCTCTATGGATTTTTTTCATTATCTTTAAGGATTTTTATATTTGGGCAAAAAAAGACAATATTGTTTTTTAAACACCCTAATGCACATATAAACCTGGTCTATTAAATAGTATAGTATTTTCAGGACAGCCTACATTTATAGAAATAATATAGAAAAACATATTTACCATAAGAAATTTATCGAGTCGCAGTTGATCAATACCAAACCACTCATTTATTAGTGTTTGAATTCCGGCTTTAAAAAATAATAAGGAAGTATTCAAAGGCAGGGAATGAATTAGTTTTGATATATTTTCTGCACATTCTTCTTGGACCAGTGGTTTATCTGATTGCCACATGGAATAAAACAGACCTTTCCACAATCGAAGAAAGTCATCTTCAGAATATGCTAAAATTATAAATATTATTTGTTTTAAAATGTACAAACATAAAATTTTTAATTAATTTAGTGAAAAAATGTCATTAAATGAACTGTTAATTTTGAGGTTTACGATGGTGATATTATCCGAGCACTACTAAATCATTCTAACAACATTTGAAAAAGTATGACTGAATTGACACAGTAGAACAAATTTGATAAAGGGATTTCAATTTTTCACTAGACAAAACATCTTATGGCCCAGTTGTTTGTTGAATTTTTGAATGTTTTTAGGTTACTTACGCATTGTTTGAGAGCGTTGCTTGAGCCATTTTGTCAAGCTTTTTAACGCCTTGTCGCGACTGGTCTTGTTGTTTCCGGCTAAAACGCGGGCCAATTTTAGTTCTTGCGTTAAAACCAGCAGCTTTTTGTTTTGGTCCGTTTTTTCGTTTTTGTTTTGTTTCTCCATGTTTCACGTGCGTTCAGGAACACATTCGAATACGTAATGACGTGATGCCAACTTGACGAAATAAAATTAGTTTGTTAGGCAACCCGTAGGTCGGTGCAAAGCTTACTTTAAGAACAAATGATTAATTTGAATATAGGTATATATTATATTTAGATAAATATGTGGTATACTATAGTCAAAGAATACCTTTTGCTATATTAAACGTATACCATATCGCTATGGCTACAGCTTACTAAAGGAGCGGCTAGAAGTTTGAAGAAATACAGCTGCGTTGCCAAATCGTACGCAATGTTCAAATTTCAACATAACCTAAAATAGCTAGTCTAGGACAGTGTTGTGAACCGTACGATTTTAATCGTATTTGTACGATTATCTTCATGTCGGTACGATGTACGATTAATTATGTCAAATCGTACGCATAAATACGATTTTTTGTCTTATAGGAGTTTTTTGTATTTTCGAAAATTAATAAATTTACTATTTTTAGTTGCATCTTTGAAAGCCGAATTATTTTGCCCCGAAAATGAATTAGGCAACATTGCGATCATGTTTAGATTTTCAATGCTGCCAACAAGAAGTGAAAAATAGTTATTTGTTTTACAAGTGTTGAAAAGCGACTTTTTCATGCGAGTGTTTAAGTTGCTCACAAGGCCGTCAGGCTGAGTGTGAATTAACACGAGCTTGAAGAAAGTTTTTTTTATAAGTAAAATAGAATGTTTTTCCTACGACCCTTTTATTTTTTATTATATTCAAATACAAAACAAAATAACCTAAAAACGTATTTGACAGCTGTTAAAATTACTTTCATCTTATTGTTTTAATTTTTAAGGTATAAGTTACTTAAAATTTTTAAGGTATACCTAAGTTACTTAAAATCAATATACTTATAAGGTATACCTTCTCAATTTAAATAAAGGCACTAAAAATTGGAATTTATTATACAAACACAATTAATTGTGTTCTAAATGATATTTAAACATACATATACAAATACAATACAAATTTTGAAACGAATGTCATGATGCTGTCAATTTCTTTTTATACAGACCTGTCACTTTTCACACAGAAATGTCACTTTACATTCGTTTTTTGCCTTCCCAATGAAAAGATTCATTTTCTAAGCAACGATGCCAATACGAAATTTGACTTTTACATAGTGATCGTAGAAAAATAAAATTTACCCCTTCGGGGTTTTCTATGACCAATACCATTTTATGTTTCTTCCACCACCTGTAAAAAGTATTTTATTGCATCTACAAAAAAACTGGTGTGCAGAACTTTTTCGCCAGCGGTTTGGCGCTGCGCGTGATGCAGATTTATAGTAACAATACAAATAAAGGTGATGAAGAAGAAATACTATTTGCAAATTGAAATATTAAATTAAGATCAATAAGTTGATCAGTTACCTACTTCATCAATATTGATGTTCCTCGTTCTATGACTTAATTTTTTTTTTTTTTGTAATACTTAATAAAATGACTTTACAAAAAATAACTTGTTTCTATCACACTGAATAACGCCTTACTTTGATAAACAGATAGAATAGGATAGGACGTATCGTAAGTAGGTAAACCATTGTTTATTACACATATTTTTAAGTATTTCAAATTTCCCAACTTTAAACAATAAATTTAAATACCAGGACGAAAAACTTAAATTAAATTTAATTTTTTTATATTTTTAAATTTTAATTCTGTTTTATAAAAAAATCGTATTTTAACTGTAAAAATTGTACACCACTTTTTTTATCAAATAAATCTTTTATTATTATAGTGGTGTACGATTTTTACAGTTAAAATACGATTTTTTTTAGTTTTCCGTACGATTATTGTTATTCTGCAAGTTGGCAACACTGGTCTAGGATAGCTAGTCTAACCTAATCTACTTTTTCTATGGTCTAGCGTTTTATATGGTTTAGAGCATTGAGTAATAAGTGGTTTAGAGTAACCTGTTGATTTCGGTGTGTTTGGTTAATTGTTATATTATGCTAATTAGCATTTTGCTTTGTTTTGTGTAACATTTTACTTTGTTTTTGTGTAGTTTTTTGATCTGTGTTGTGTAGTGGTTTTAACGACAGGACGTTACAATGCCGTTTGTCTGCAATTCGTGCTCTAAAGTGTTTGCAAGAAAGATACAGCTTAATAAACACATGGAAAACCTACATAAAGATAATGATTTCCATAAATATCTTAGCAAATGCCTGGAAGACAACTGCCAAACTTCTTTTAAATACACTGCACATCTGAGAGAACACCTTCAGAGTTGTCACAGCAAAATTATTGAAAATGAAACGCTGTATTTTTCAACAGAAGGGGGTTTGTATATTATTTGAGTCATAAATTTACAAAACTGACTGACCAAAATTATGAAATTTTCAATTTTTTTTAGTTAAAGAGTGAGATTTGGAAATATAAGCCTCATTTTATTACTAATAGTATATTTCTATACTTATTTATTTTTTAGAATTTTATGATTGGAAAAATACTATTTGCAAAAATAACAACGTGCAATATAACTGTATGAAGAAAAATGACCTGACATATATTTTAATATTTTGTAGTTAATGTGGATTAAGTTTATAGTTTGCTTATCACTTTTCAGGACTCTTTAAAGACAATAATAAGAACACAGTCAAATGTTTAAAAAGTCAAGGGAGTTGTAAAATCAACAGCAATTGTACCAGTCAGATAATTTTAAAAAAGATGAATATGGACAAGTATAGAGTTGACTATTTTAAAACACACTATGGACATGACTTGGAAGTTCAGCATATTAGAATACCAAGAGAGGATAGAATTGATATTTCAGCCAGATTGTCAAGTGGGGTTCCAGTAGTCAGGTAATATATTACATTGGCAAAATTATTAATTACCTACAATATATTTTTTTTTCTTTTTAGAATTTTAGATTCCTATAGGAACTCTATTGAGGAGGAAAAGTTGTCTCGTTGTGATATAATCACAAGGAAAGACATCAATAACATAAAAACAGCATTTAACATAAATATCCAGGAGGGAGTAAGACATGAAAATGACAGTGTAAGTGTTGAACTTTTGGTTGACCAATCAAAAGATTTTGTTCTTTTGCACAAAAAGCAAGGAGAGCATTTTGAAAAACTTGCTCTTAATGACTTCTGCATAATTTTTATGAATGTTACACAAACAAATATGTTGCAACGGTTTGGTAGTGCTGTAGTTGCTATTGATAGCACTCATGGTTTGAATATGTACGACTTTGAACTAACCACTCTAATGGTCATTGATGAGTTTGGTGAAGGATTTCCTGTTGCATGCATGTTCACCAATCGTAAAGACACCCTTGTTTTTGAAATTTTCTTTCAAAAAATTAAAGAAAAAGCTGGTTTAATAACCCCAAATGTATTTATGAGTGACATCACAGAGGTGTATTACAATGCATGGAAGGCCACTATGGGGGGTGAAATTCCACACAGATTGTACTGTGCCTGGCACATTGATAGGGCATGGAGGACTAACCTATCCAAAATTCCAAAAATTGAGACCAGGAAACAGGTCTATCAAACCCTCAAAGTTTTGCAAAGTGCTCTAACACTACCAGTATTTGAGAGGAATTTTGACACTGTAAAAAAACTTTTTCACAATAACCCTGATACTAAAGAATTTGCTGAATATTTTTTAAAAAAATATTCAAATAACTGCCATATGTGGGCCTTCTGCTATCGAAAGAATTGTGGTATTAATACAAATATGGTGATTGGTTAATATAAATATTTACAATTGCTTAAAAGCTTATTAACTTCTTAATGAAAACTGCTTTAGCAGGCATGTAATTAGTCTTCAATGCTTTTACTGTTTTGTAGTACTAATATTTGGTAGTCATACTTTTAAAAATAACAGATAATTCCACTTATCTTTTATACTTTTTGTAGATATATAGATAAACATGTTACATTAGATATTTGCATGTGTATTATTGTTATTAAATTCACTTTTTGGGAGGGAAACAGTATTTAATATTAATTACTGATGTGTTTCCCCTATATAATACATTTGTTAATAAATATTTTGATTTTAGGTACTTGAGAGCATGCATAAAACGATTAAGTACTTTTATTTGGATGGGAAAACTGTGAAACGACTGGATAAGGGCATAACAGCCGTTCTCAAATATACTCGAGACAAAATTGTGAACCGCTTGATAAAGATTACAAAAGGAGTGAATAATTGTCATATTCAAGACATTCACAAAAGGCACCGGGTTGCATTAACTAGTAAGATGGAAATTACTAATGAAAATAATCATACTTGGATTGTACAAACAGAAAATGGAAAATATCAGGTTTCAAGAAATGAAAATATGCATTCACGATTTTGAATGCACATGTGCGGACTTTTACATAAGAGGAACCATATGTAAGCACATTCATTTCATTAAACTAAATGTACAGAATATTGAAGTTGATAATAAAGAGATGGAAGATGAATCAGAATTCAGAATAAACCCATGTGTGGAAGAAACTGTTTTAAATCTTAAAACATTGTCAAACTATGGGCTGACAGAAAACAAGAAAAATGTATCACATGAAATAAAAAAAGCATGCACACAACTGTTAGAAATTCCTGATTCAGTGTATGAAAATAACGAAACTGGCCCCCAAATTTTGAAATTTTTGCAAAATTGTATTGCTTTAACAAGCATACAAAAAGGTGATTCTAAAAAAAGAATTATAACAGACAATAAAAATTGCCAGGGTAAGTAAAACTATTTATCATATTATGTATAATGTGTTTTATTTATATATACATATATTTTTAGAACCCGCAAATAAAAAAATAAAAAAACAAAATACTTTTTTTTCAACTATGAACAAAGTAAAAGGAAGCAAAAACACCATTAAAAGACCCACACAATCGGAAATCTCTTTAATAACATCTCAATTAAATACCCAAAGTGATCATGATTATACATGCTAGCTATTTTTTTTACAATAAACAAAATTCAACCATAGCAGATTAAAAGAGAAACTTACCTAAACAGTACACCTTAGTTAATGGAAAGCATACAGCCATTCCAGGCGTAACGGATGGGAAAATTTTCAAGTTTTTATTTACAACATAATATTGTTCTATTATATTACCAATGTCAAATTTTTATAAATAGTTCTAAACAAAAGCTGTTTAACAAGGTTTTTATTTGGCAAAATTAGGTATCATGGTTGACGCTTTAAATTATTAATTATTAAGGAATTAAACAGTCAACCACAATACCTAATTTTGCCAAATAAAAACCTTGTTAAACAGCTTTTGTTTAGAACTATTTATAAAAATTTGACATTGGTAATATAATAGAACAATATTATGTTGTAAATAAAAACTTGAAAATTTTCCCATCCGTTACGCCTGGAATGGCCGCATAGTAAGGCACAAGTTGTTAAACACGTATCAGAACACATTCATTAACAACAACCTTTAACCATGGAAAATGCAGCACTATCAATACAAGCATACTATCTTACGTCTTTACTGGAAAATGTTAAAAATGCAAGTAACTTTGACAGCTTTAAAAGAAACTGAAGCACCACTACAATATGTATTATGTAATTTAACAAATGTGATAAAAAGTATTTAAATTAAGACTACAACCATGTACCTGCTAAATAATCTCATTATCAGCATTTGGCTGATTTGAGATTCTAAATGAGGAGCGATCAGACAAAACCAGACAAATCCATTGTAGTGATTTGCAGAAACAAATAAAAAAATAAAAGAATTCGTTTGCTTTTGACTTATTTGTCTGGTTTTGTCTGATTTCTGCTTAAATGTACCTGAAACATTATGATGCTATATTATTGTTATATTATATTATACTTGTTATTATAGATGGTATATGCTTGAGCCCTTTGCAAAGTGCTCACAAATGCTCGAGCATTTAAAAGCATTTATGACCGCTTTTGAAAGTGCTCATCCTTCTATCTTGTTATTATATTGTTTTTTTGGAAATAAATATATAAATAGAATTATGTGGGTATTATTTGTCTTCCAAAGTTATTGCAAAAAAAAAGATTATATGGGTAGGTATCTACATATGAGTCGTCTAGATGCAAAACTCTCCATTTGCCTTTTTTAATAAGGACAAAACATGTTTCCATAGAAATATAACTAACAGGGCTAAAAAAAATGACGATTTTTGTAGATGTGTTTTTTCTATAATAATAATTTTATGATCTTCAGCAAGCAATAAAATTAATTAATAATTTGCACAAAGAAGTCTGGAAAAATCTATGTTAGTTTCAAAGAAAACGTAAAATAAAAAGTATTTTCTTTTTGCTTATGCCGTTACTAATAATGGAATCGCCCTCATACATACTTGTCATTTTTTATTTTCCTTTGTATTATTCTATGACACAAAATACATTAATTCATGCCAATTTATAAAATCCAACACTGGTAAATATTTGAAATATGATTGCAATTTAAAACTACCGCGTTTTGTAATTGGTCTAATAGTGGGTGCACAACTTGGCAACGCAGCTGTATTTCTTCAAACTTCTAGCCGCTCCTGCTTACTAAGCTCGCAAGTGTGCCAACTAAACAAAATAAATTTAGTTTGTTAGGCAACACGTATGCGTCCTTGCATAGCTTACTGTAGGAAGAACTGATTTATTTGAATTTAAATACAAATAAATAAATAAAAGCCAAATTTGCTTGTATAATTGGTGTTTATTGTATAAAATAACACGAAAGTGATAAATTAATAAAATACAAAGTAGCAAGTAGGAATTTTAAGTAGAAAACACAGTTTTAAAAAAATCCGCAATACTCTCAAAGAGGCCTTTAATTGCGGTACCAATAAGTTTGAAGCCATTTTTGATGCCTTCTACAATATCCAGTACAAGTTTTTTCAGCCAGGCAAACAAATCCGTAAAAAACTCAAGGAAATGCCCCCAAAATATAAGATATTCATCCTGTTGCGTTGGAGTCATGTCTTCTAAAGCATCCATAGCTTCTTGACGTTGATTTTCGATTTCCTTTGCCATACTATCGAACATTTTTCCCAGCCTTTCTTTTTTTATTTCAGTGGTGTGTACATCTGCTTTGGTTTCCTCAACAGTTTCATGAATATCATTGGCTTGTAGAACAAAGAAAGTCTTTAACTTTTGGTAAGTCGTTTTTGCAGCCTTAGAAGCATCTTTTGGCTTTTCTTTCGATAATTGTTCAGTTTTTGCCCTCAGACGTAGTGTTATTGTGTTTGCGCGTTCGTTTACATCACGATTTAAACTATCTTCATTATTTCTTACACTTAAACTTTGAACAAGAGACATTTTTAAGAGACAACAGCGATTATACCATAGAGAAATATGGATTATACTAAAAATTTTAAGGCAAGACCATAAAATCTACGATAATATAGTTAAGTGCTTTGCCAATGTTGCCAAATTGAATTTTTTTTCGCGTTCTCAGGATATTTTTACGTAAGAGAAATAAAATTATAAGATTAGTAGGTACTACTGACGTAAGTACTGACTTTAAAAATAGAATAGTCACTTTTTGCTTTAAACCGCCCTCCTGAAAAGTTATTAAAAACCATGAGAGTTAAAATTTTGATTAGGTATGATTATTATGATTTCAACGCAAGTCGCGGGATTTGATGTGCAATTAGATCTGGCAACTCTGTACTAACGCTATAAATAGAATGTACTTAAATCTAAGAAAGGGGACTTACAGAATGAAATGGGTAATTTCCCTTAATAAATCCTTGAGTAGGTACCTAATAATATTATTATTATTATTATATATTCCATAAGTGAGTTCCACACTGCATAATTATAAGTGCATCCCCTTATATAAAAATAAATTAGATTAGATTAGATAGATAGATAGATTGATGTCTATAAAAAAGTGAAATTAATGTTTGACTCTTAAAAAACATTTTTATTTTTAAACCAACAGAAAAAAGCTTTAGCTTAAGCCTAAATTTATTAAAAACATTTTTATTATATCAAAAAATAATTCTTTTTAACATTTTAATAATATTTAAAAGGTGGGCCAAGTTTTATGAAGATTGTATGCTCTAATCCAGCGGTTCTCAAACTTTTTTTTTCGCGTACCATTCATGTCCAATGTGGATTAATCGAGTACCACCGAACTAAATAAAACAAGTTGTGCTGCGTGTACGTATTTATTGAACTTGTAGTTTAATAAGAAATACCTATTGATAACCGTGAAACAGAACCAATTTTTATAGTATTAAAACAACAATTTGTCAGAACAAATCAAAATACGCACGTCACGATTTTAAAACGAGCAGGGGATTACCCGTTTAATAAACACCAACAGCAGTGTTGCCATTTACAATATAAAATGTGTGATTTTCAATAAAATTGAGCCAACGATAATTTTATTTGAAGGCAAGTACATCTATTATCTATTCGCATACCACTTTTGAATGCCTTACGTACCACTTGTGGTACGCGTACCACAGTTTGAGAACCGCTGCTCTAGTCATTGTCCAAGGGCCTGTGTTTAATTTAAAAAATATATTTTATCAGTGGCAGCTGGTGTATTTTGGGTATACCGATATCTCAATTATTAGATATGGGACCCACACCAAATTTATAATGACATTAAAAAAATGCTTTCCAAAGGAGCTACAGCCCCCGAAAGAGGAGCCCCTAAAGATGGTTTTTATTTAATATCTCCAAAACTGTTTAAGATAGAAAAGTGAAATTTTCGGATATAATCAAACTTTTTATGGCCAATAAGTTGTAATAATAACAAATTCAAAATTTTCATAAGGGGTGGGTCAGATAGATAAGGAGTAGGGGTAAAACTACCCTAATTTTTTTGTACGTATCTTGTGCTATGATTTAATATCAGATCATAAAATTTCAGAGTTTTACACACAAAAAAGGTCCTCTTGATGAACTTTGATAGCATGCACCGTTTTCGCTTAAAATCGATTTAAAAATTACCTTACATATGCTATATAGCATAAAAATTCATAATGAAATCATCTAGAGAAAAAGATTCAGCGTAGGCCATGGACAATTTTTAAACTCCCTGTCACATATTACATGAAACTGTTACCTGTCTTAAATAATTATTCCTAAAGATGGCAGCTGTGTTCCATGGCCTACGCTGAATTTTTCTCTCTTGTTAATTCATTATAGATTTTAAGCGAAAACAGTGGATAATATCAAAGTTTAACAAGAGGACTTTCTTTGTGTGTAAAATTTTATAATCTGACATCAAATCCTAGCACAAGGCAAAAAAGTTATTCCCTAACTATCTGACCCAACCCTCAAGGAAATTTTGAATTGTTATTACATCCATCCATAAAAAGTTTGATTAATTCCAAAAATTTTACTTTTCTATCTTGACCGGTTTTGGATATATTAAATAAAAACCATTTTCAGGAGCTCCTCTTTTAGGGGCTTTAGTTCCCTTAGAAAGCATTTTTCAGCCTATGTTTATAGGAACTTTTTTTCTTATTTTTGTACGTAGAATCTGCTGTGCATGCTAATTATGGGACACCCTGTATACAGGGTGTTTCAGAATAAGATGCTTAACCTTAATTAAGGGTGTGAATCCTTAGTTGATTTAAAAAAAAAAGTTCAAATAAACCTATGACCTAAACCTCTTAATTTTTGAGTTACAGGGTGTTAAAGTTTTAAGAAAAAAATCGATTTTTATCATAACTTTAATAACTTCCTAGATATTTTTATAAAATTTAGCACACGCCTTCTAAGCATTAACTGTAAGTTTTTGATGTAGAAGATTTTTTATTTTTTTACCAGTGGCGTCCGTACAGGATGTGGTCTAGATATTTTTGGAAAAATATTATGCACGCCACTGCTATTTTTCAAAATAAAAATTATTTTTTAAATTCCCATTCATTTTAGGGCAAATTTGATTTCTTGAACATTTTTCGTACGACTAACGGTTTTCGATGAAAAAAATAAAAAGCATTTAATGCGCATATTGAGAAAACAATGCCATGATTAAATTTAATCGCTAATTTATATGGATTTATATGGATAATTTATATGGATAAACTGCTAAAAATATAAAAGATAACTGTTGGGGAAATACTACGATGTTTCTTAAGGGACATCACTGTTTTTTTTAGGAAAATCGGGCAGTGCATGTTCTAAAAATGCAGTACTAGATTTTAAGAGGCATTTTAAATCGCATTGCCAGATTTTAAGTAGCACTTCAAATATTTTTTTGGAAAGAACTAATATTATAGATTTTTTAACGAAACAAAATATTTATTTTTTTAATTTTTGCAAGACTTAAGTCACAGTCGAAATAAATAGCCGTGCGCAATGCGCATGATCGAAAATTGCAGTGTTTTTACGAACTATGGCCGTGTGACACGGCCCGTGTCAAATATAAAATTCATTCAGATGTGAATGGTAATACAAAAAAATTAACACTTTGCATCAGGGACACGGACCGGACCGTTTTTGGACAGAAAACCGAACCCATATTATTTAACTCCAGAGACCGAACCCAAACCCTTTAAATTAAACGGTTTTTAGGTTATTTCGGTTTTTTTTTATTCTTTTTGGAAAAATTAAAAAAATATTTTGTTTCGTTAAAAAATCTATAATATTAGTTCTTATTTATTTATTTTCGTAAGTAATATCGTAAGGGCATCTAATTTTTCCAAAAAAAAATCGAAAAAACACGTTGCTAAGTAATATTTTATCAAGAAGCATGAGCAGTGCCGGTTTAAGTTAGTTCGCCGCCCGGTTCTGGCACAAACACAACGCCCAATGCTTTAAAATATTACTTTTTTAAAAACATTTTTAAATTTTTAAGTCTTACTTTCTCACGTCAAGTGGAAGATTAGGTTGGTTAGGCTGGTAACTAACAGTAAACTTAGTATCCTATAAAATATAAAATGAGCCTTTATAAATAAATTATAAAAACTAATCAAAAGCACTAACTAAAAAATAAAACATTCTTTGGTTTATATAAACAATACTAAGTACTAATTAAAAAATAAAAGTTTAATATTTTGTTTCATTAAACTAATAAAAACTAATCAAAAGTTATAAATAAATAAAACATTATTCTTTGGTTTAAATAAATATTGAGAAATCCTAATACTAATAACCAAAAGGTTGTTTTCAAGTCTTTATAGTAGCAAAATGATCACGTAAAAAATCAAAGTTCTCAACTAAAAATGACAAAAGATGAGCATTTGTGCTTAAATCCACATTTTGTTTTTGGACTGCTTTATTGGTTTCATTAACCCTTTGCAAAAAGTCTATCCAAAAAGTTAAAATTCCGTTTCCAATAAATCAAGTTTTTCTGATGGAGAAGCTGCTTCAACTCTAACAACATTTTTCTCATTTGTATCCGTTGTAACGCAGTGTCGCAATAATTTTTTTTCTAAATTCTAACGATTAAGTATTATTTTTTAAATTATGGGCGGTACGCGGTACCGCCCCAAAAATATTTACCGCCCGGTGCTATAGTCCCCAAAAAACCCCTGTTAAACCGGCACTGAGCATGAGTGCTGTGGGCAACAAAAATCCGAGTCGAAGACGAGGATTTTTGCACCTGCACGAATGCATTTTGTTAAAAAATATTACCTAGCATTGTGTTTTTTCGACTTTTTTCACGGGAAAAACTAGATGCCCAAATGTTATTTTACAAGACTATAGTCTTATTATTATATATTTCATGAGTAACAGTTAACAATTAAAATATAAATTGCAATTTTTGGTGACAACAGCTGTCAAGTTTTGCCGCCGGTAAACTGCTGACAGGTGCTGTCATACAGTTTTGCCGCGGGTAAACTGCTGACAGGTGCTGTCATACAGTTTTTTCACCTAGAAACCATTTGTAATTCAAAATTGCGCGTTTGTGATTGGTGGAAATTAAGACGAGGGAAATAGTCGTAATTATAATTATAATTTATTATAATATCATAAGGGCGCCCTTGCGCATTTAATTTTTTCGAAAAGAATCGAAAAGACACGTTGCTAAGTAATATTTTAACAAAAAGCATGAGTGCTGGTGGCAACAAAAATCCGAGTCGTAGAGGAGAATTTTTGCACGAATGCATTTTGTTAAAAAATATTACTTAGCATTGTGTTTTTTCGATTTTTTTCACAGGAAAAATTAGATGCCCGAATGGTATTTGACAAGACTATTTCATGAG